AACTGTTTTATTTTTCTTGTTGCCAGGCAACTCTATTTGCATTTGTAATAACTTGTCTGAAGCTTAGAGCTCCTTCCTCAGAGGTAAAAATTGTGGGATTTGTAGCCACTAGTTTCTTAGCAAGTGATCAGATCCAATTTTCTAACGGCAGTCACTCGCCCATTATTTTGCAGTTACTGTAGCAAATTACCACAAACTTTAGTGGTTTAAACACATACAATTTATCTTACAGTTCTATGGTCCAGAAGTCTGAGATGGGTTTCGCCAGTTATTCACAGCCTGGGCAAGGCAGCACCCCTCTCTGTAGGCTCCATAAAGTTCACTTCCTTCATTTTTGCAGCCTTTAGGGGGGACCCACATTCATTGGCTGGTGGCCCCCCTCCTTTATCTCCAAAACCAGCAAAAACAAGTGGAGTCCTGCTCACCTGGCATCACTTTGATCTCCTCTTCTGTCTCCTTCCTCTTTTAAGGACCCTTTCGATGCTATTGGGCCCAGCTAGAAAATCCAAGATAATCTCCTAATTTTAAGGTCAACTAATCAACAACCTTAATGCTATCTGCAAACTTCCAGCACAGTGTTGCATACAAATAGTGGGCATAGACATATTTGTCTTGTTCCTGGTCTTAGGAGGAAATCTTCCAATATTCACCATTAGGGGTGATGATATTAGCTATGGGTTTCTCATGCATGTCCTTTAGCAGATTGAGGAAGTTCTCTTCCATTCCTTCTTTGTTGTGTGTTTTATCATAAAAGTGTATTGTTTTTTATCAGATACTTTCCTGCATCTGCTCTGATCATGTTGCTTTTATTTTGTATTCTATGATGTATCCTTGATATGATGTGTTACATTAACTGATTTTTTAATATTAAACCAACCTTGCATTCCTGGTATAAATTCCACTTGTTCATGACGGATAAGCATTTCTATATGTTGTTGGATTGAGTTTGCTAGTCTTTAGTTGAAGATTTTTGCACCAACATTTATAAGATATTGATTTGTAGTTTCCTTTTCTTGTGATGTCTTCTGACTCTACTATTTTCTAGGTACAGAAATTATTTCCTATCAGTAGTAGGCAAGGGGATAAAAGTGATACACATGTAGTTGAGGAACTGGGCAGCTCCATACATTTGAGATGTTAGAAGCTTTGATCCACCTGCTTCTCTCCACTTCATCTTCAGCCACTGGCTGGCCTGCATGAGGCAAGGGAGAGGCCCCACTGCTCCAGGATGTTTCTCACTCTCCCACGAGGGTCTTCCCAAGCAGGCCAGTAGTGTGCATGGAGCATCAATAAGCTGAGTATTCTAAATCATGAAGCACCTGTCTCAAAATGGCATCACCTTGAACCAACCCTTGTGAAGACTGGAGCTGCAAATATCACAGAGAGGTTTGCCAGACTGCCTTTTCCCACGGAAGTCCAGTGCCCAATACTATCAAATACTCACTCCTCTTACTAAATTTGTCTGGTCTGAATGCCCCTTTGATCTTTTTCTGACAACCATCTGCAGAGCTTGCCTGGTAAGGAGTGAAAGGACATTTTCCTGGAGCAGCTGTCGGCTGAGAAGGCTGAGCTGCAGTTCTCTTCTGTGCACTTGGGGTAATGTGTCTTGAGACCACATTTCCTGGTGAACCAACAGTCATGACGTCAGCCTCAGTCTGGGGTGAACAGGCTTGTGGGATCATTCAGGAAGGTAAACATGCAACACGCATGAGGACTAGCATTCATCCTGCCTACCCCACACGGACCCTGCTCACTGATCCTACAGGAGACTCTTGCCTGCAGGGACTTGGCACTACTTTTCCTCTCCTGGGATGAGAGGGCCTCCAACCAAGCCCATGTACTGCCTCCTTCTGGCTGCCCTGGGAAAGTACCACCTTCCAGAGTTCCTGCTCCAGCAAGTCTTCCTCAAGGACAACTAAACTTGCTTGGTGGTCATTGAAGATTTTGAGGCTGCCTAAATCGACAACTTTACAGGAAGTAAATGAACATCTTGCCTCTTATCATTCACTTAGAAAGTAATACCTGTGTGGTTACTCGGTGAGGATCAAAGCCCTCTATTCCCAATCAGTGACACAAGCATTAAATGTGGGCACTTAAGCAGCATCTGTTGCAAGGCCCCCATTCCTCACATTGCACTGCACATCCAAATGAGCCAACAAAGAACTGTGGCTGGGGAATGAGTGCCCAACCCCAGCCCACTCAAGGCAGTTGCTATTATGAAGTGGCTGCAGCACTACCAGCCTCGTAGCTTACAACCTCCCACTGTGACACCCTTTACTTCTGTTCCTCATAAACCAAATGCCCTCAGTGATCTACCACCCACCACGCAGGCAGTGTTTATAAAACCCAGGTGGCATTCTCCCAGCTGCAGCCAGCTGCTCACATTACAGTCAAACTTCATGGACCCACCTAGCACAGAGCCTGGGGAATAGTAGAGGATTGCAAATATTTATTGAATGAATGACCCATGAAAAACATCTTAAAAGTATGGCCTAGCTTCCTTCTCCTACTGGTTCAATTTATGGCTGTTTTTCTCTCACCCAAAGCCAGGATGTGCTCAGATGCTATAAGCCCATTTTCATATTAGGTTAGAAAAACATAGTCAGGAGGAAATTGGTTATCAACCTAAAGAGGTACATAGTTCCCTTTTATGAGGACAATGTGTTTCTTTGAAATGAACAGTTGATAAGCTGCCCGGAGTGAGGGGTGAGACTCCAAGGAAGATGTCCACATAGCAAAAGGCCACAGATTGGTCCTAAACCAGCTGCTAACTACAGGCCATTGGTCTCACTGAGTTCCTGGTGCACTTGGCCATGTGCGTCTGGATGTAGGAGACATTTCAAGTTCAGGGGAATATCTAGGAGCAAGAATGAGCAGTCAGCAAGGCGTGTGCGTGCACACTGGGTAAAATAGGTAGGTGAACAGATCCCCCAGAAATGGTGAGATCAAAGAAAAGGCTCTGGAGAAGGGAAATATAAGGGAAGATGAAGCTTGTTGCAGCATGTGAGAGTAACTTCTCTCTCACACTCCCCACTGTGAGCTGCAATGACTTTTCTGTTGAAAATCAGGAAAGGACAGCAGTCTGCACCCACGGTCTAGGACAGCGATTTTTAATCAGTGTGCCTCAGCTCACTGCTGTGCCACAAGAATTTTAAAAACATGCCATCCATACGTGCCTATTTAATCAGGGGCACTGACCTCTTTTCCCTCAGATTGAAATAAAAAAATAAAACAATAGCCAACACAACAATAGCCCATCTGGTGTTAATAGTTTCTCCCTATTTTTTGTCAGATCGGCAAAAAGTATGCTTTTTGGTGTGCCGCAGAATTTTAGTAATCAGTTTATGTGTGCCATGAGATGAAAAGGTTGAAATCTCTGGTCTAGACTCTATGGCCTACCTGAGGACAGAGGGCCCATCTCAGGCTGACTTCAACCACTTTAGAAAAATGGTTCATTTCACCTTCTACCTGTAGTTGTTGGATATTTATGTTTCTTCCATCCAGTTCTTCACCCATTACAGCACATTACTCACCAATAACCCACCTCCCTCTTTCCTGAAGTCCCCTTTGGGGTGAGAGAAGTCTGTCTAAACCTCCCTGACATGAGTTATCTTCCATCTGAGACAGGCACTTCAACACAACCTACTCAGTCTACTAGTGAGCATACAGGAAAGACCACTCTTTTGGGATTACAATATCTAGATGATTCACACCATCAAGTTTAAAAGTTAAATGTTGGGACAGTTTAATTTAGCTTTACAGTCCACATTAAAATAATGAAACACTTTCGATAGTACATTCTAATCCTCGTGTCTTCAAGGAAACGGTCTCCTGCAGGTAACTGCACATCATTAGGCTCAAAGGTAATACACACAAATTGTTTCTACTACAAACACATACACAAACTTAACATGTGACATTATGGAGGTCTGAGGTAAGGCACAACCTCTGGTGCCCTTGCTTTCTCTGTAAAATGAGGGAGTTGGACTAGGTCATTTGCAGGGTTCCTTCTAGCACTCACAGAGAGCCTACATTTGGCCAATTTCTCAGTGTCATAGGTCTAGGCAATGTTTTCTAGCTAGAAGTGAGACTTGGACATGTGTGATTCTTTTGCATATTTCAGGCAAATAAATGGAAAGGAAAGGAGTATTTACCAAGCACCTGTGAAGTACCAGGTCTTTCTCATAGACCTAATTCCTCATGTTTTTACTGCAAGGTGTATAGTATTACCCCTACTGCAGATTAGTCAGGTCCAGGCCTTTTCCCTGATGACAACCAATGTCCTTTCACCTTCAACTTAAGATAGTATTCCCTGGTTTCACTGGCTTAAGAAGTTATGTCTTAGATTTATTTAGGAACTTATGATAATTATTACTGCATCAATTGGCTACTCAAGTGACATGAGTATTTCCAAGAATCACATCAGCTACAGAGTAAATAATTGCCCTAGATGGAGTTCATCTGTTACTGAGCCCCGCTCCATGCATCCACTGAATGTTTTAATCCCCACTCCCCACCCCAGGGGACATCTGGCTATGTCTGGAGACATTTTTAGTTGTCACACTGGGGGCTGGGGGTTGCTATTTGCATTAGAGGCCAGGGACGCTGCTAATCATCACACAAGGCACAGGAGCCCAAAATGTCACAGTGTGAGAAACCTTGAGTCAACGTGCGGTAAGTATACTGGGGTACTGGTAAGGTAGGAAACAAGTTATGAAAGACAATAAAATATGGTCGTTGTCCTGGTAGAGCTCATAATCTGAGACAATACCTCCTTTATATACAGGGGTGGGCAAAAGTAGGTTAAATTATCAGCCATCATACTTAAAAGATAAATCATAATTGAGGATACGAAATAATAACAATAAGAAGGCAAATAATACAAATAAGTAATACAATAATAAATAATACAAGAATAAACTATTTTCACATACTCACAATTGTGAACCTACGTTTGCCCACCCCTGTAAGTTTTTTTCATTCAAATAGTCCACACAATATTTATATTTAAATACTTTTATTTTCATTTCACACAAAAAGCAACAGTGTTTGCAGTACACATGCCTTTCAGTCAGTGCTGGTCATATGCAAAACAAGTTATCAGAAGTATAAAGAAAAATAAGCTTTTTCCCTTTACAAGTAATACAACACAATTTGCATATATAATGTTTTATATATATATATATATATATACACACACACACACATACTATTTTCAAAAACTTCCACAAAAGACAGATTATGATATAAATTTAGAATTCCACCCACAAGCTCAGATTCTAGGAACTGGAGATCTCCATAGGTGTTTTAATACAAAAATGTAATACCTTTACAAGCTTCCAAGTAGTTACTTTTCAAAGTGTTTGAAAGAGACTATTCTTTACAGCGACATGGAACACTTGGCTTGAGTCAAGACAGCTGTAAGACTAAGTTTTGTCTTAATGTGAGTTTTGCTGATTAATGCAAATGCTCCAATTATTTTGGAATTCTTATTTTACACACACACACGCACACACTGGTGTATTATTGTACTAATGGTTTATATAGTTCAACTTCTGGAGCATTTCAGTCAGCTAAGCCATGACCTTTACTTTCTTTGAAGTTTTTTAAATTAAAAGCTGTTCAGAAATATCACTAACTACCATGACTAACTCTAAAAAGGTGCCCCTTCTTTTTTATTTATGATCAAAGTTAAATGTGTCATGAATAAGCTCTTATTTTTTTTCTACAACAGCAGGTATAAGTAACAGCAAAGTGTAGGCTAATTTTCAACACTAGAGCCTGAGAGTTTGATGTGATAAATAAAATCTCTGAAATTTTCTAGGAGTCCTAATACTCAATGTTTCTAAAAATGTAATAGCAATATGGCAACTCTTCAGCATTATATTCATTATAAATTGCACAATAAACCAATGCTGCTCAGAAGCGTGAAGGAAGGAAGCAGGGGAGGAAGAAAGGGAGGAAGAGAGGGAGAGAGGGTGGATTTTACACATGTGTTTTCTTTGATACAGACAAATGTGGAGTCATATTTACTTTGTGGTGGATGAAGAGTCGATGTGATATATGCTTGAGAATGGTGAAAGCAAACATACAGGTCTGAATGTATGAAATATATGCAAAAGCATACAGCTAATGAGGCAACACTGGCTTACATTTTTCAGCGCACTTGAAGAGAGCATCTAATGGTATAGGCACTGAAGAAAAAAGGAAGGAAGAACAGGAATGATCCAGCTAGTGGAGAACTGAGGAGGAAGGTGTCGCCGCACAGAAGAGCTCTGGGTAGGAAAGGACCAACCTGCCCTTCCACATACATGTGGGTGCTGAAAGATGGAAGGGCTTGTCCCACAAATTATTTTTAGGTTAGTTTTTGGGCCCATTTTTTCATTCACCAGAACCATGGCAATAACTCAAAAGTTTCATTCCAAAAACCAAAATAATTTTTACTGGGTACACAAGAAAATGCTATCGATGGACTGCAACAGACTTCTGTAGATGAATAGGATTCCAGACTTAAAAGAAGCTACTCTCAAGGCACTTTTATTGGCTGACCAGTCACTGAAAGATTAACCAGCAATAAATTTTAAACATACTTTCACTTAGTACTGTCCTCTTGCCTTTCTGGGATTTCCAATGTTCAGGTCCCTTCCCACCATTTCATTCAGTTTGAATGAAAGTAGGAAAAGTGGAAACTGATTAGCCATGTCCAAGTGTCTTCTCCCATCTTATTGGCTACATGCCCATTGCCATTAGTGACATCACCACAATGCAATGCCTTCAAGTCAGAGGCAGGGACTTGGTGAAACTTTTTTGTTAGGTATACTCAGAGCTCTTCAAGGGACTAAGTAGTAAAGGAAAATTATTAGAAAAAAGGCAAATTCTGTATATCTGTGTATATTTACATCTTTAAAGGCATACATGCTGGAAAATAAAACAAACTAACCACAAAACAAAATTATACTAGCTACAGCTAACTGAGGAAATCTGTGGGAAAGGAGGAAATAATGTGTCAATTTATGAAACTCAATTTTCATTAGGCCCCTACATAGCCATGCAAAGGACTAAATACAAATGAAATAACAAAGAAATAAAAATATATTTATATGTATTAAAAATATTCCCCTGCTGAAAATACAAATCTCTCCAAAAGAAACAAGTCAGTAAACAACACACAACTATTCTAGTCACTATTGCCTACACAGGCAATAAGGGGCCGGGGAGGGGAGATCTGTCATACACTGATCCTCAGTTTTCATTTGTACCTATACATTCATGCAAAGGACTAGGTACAAAATCAGTAATATGTACATATATATATTAATGTTCATACCCCGCCCTTTCCCCCAACCCTACCCACCCAAATAATCCCTCCCCCCAAAAACCAAACCCAAATTATAAAATTATTGCCTGTGCCGGCAGTGAGGGAAGGGGAGTAGAGGAGATTTATCATAGGTTTGGACCTCCATGTTTCATTATGTACCTAGAGTCCCAGGAAAGGACTGAGTACTAAATGAAATAATACACAAATGTAGCAAATACTTATATACATTAAAAATGCACACACACACACACACACACACACACACACACACCACCCCCCTATCCCTCCAAAAAAGCACCCAAACATCTATTCTTCTACCATTGCCCACCAGGCAATGATGGAAGGGGTATAGGGAAGATATTTCATAGAATCAACCTAAACTTTCATTAAGTACCTTAACAGTCATGCAAAGAACTCGATTCAAAATGAAGTGAACAAAGAGGCAAAACATTTATATGCAATTAAAAATTTACATATCTTGCCCAAGAAGCCAGTTCCCTGTTAAAATCTCAAACAATAAGCAAAAAAACAAACAAAAACAAAACCCAAACCCTACAGTATTCTCATGAGCACAGGCTATAGGGGAAGGGAGAAAAGACTTACTACACCTCTGGATCTGGGCCTCTGCATTACATTTGATGTCTACAAGTAAAAACAGAAAACTGGGTTTGGGGAGAAAGAACAAAAAACCCAGCAAACATACACACACACACACACACACACACACACACACACACACACACACACCCAACCCAGAAATCCCCTATAACCCTGCGGAGGGAAAAAGCAAACCCCCAAACCTCTGAACAACTATACCAGTAGTCATTGCCTCGACAGGCAATAAGGGAAGGGGAGAAGAGATTTTTTTTTCATAGAATGAACCTTAATTTTCACCATGTACCTAAGTTGTTCTTGGAAAGGTCTAGGTACAAAATGAAATAACAAAAAAGAGCAAAAACATTTATATTCATTTTTAAAAGTACATATTACCACCATCCCAGGGGAAGGAGTGGTAGAGTAAAAAAATAATCTAGGCTACTCTAAAACTATTGCCCACAGAGGCAATAAGGAAAAGGGAAAAGAGGAGATTTTCATACATCCGGACCTCCACGTCTCATTCGGTACCTACACGTCCAAGTAAGGGACGGGGTACAGAATGCACTAACACAACACAGTAACAAACACTATATATACAGTTGTTAAAAGGATATATCCAGCCCTTAGTCCCTTCCCACCCCCCAAAACTTCAAAAAAACACAAACTACTTTAAAATTGTTGCCTACAGAGATAAAAAGGGAAAGGGAGAATAGGAGATTGCTATACATCCAGAACTCCATGGTTCATTAGGAACCTACATGTCCAAGTGAAGGATTGGTGCCCAATGAAAACGATAATAAGAAAGTACAAAGCATTTATCCCAATAACACAAAAGAACCCTGAAACTAACCAAGTACTAATAGCCATTGCCCACTCGGGCAATATGAAAAGGGGAGAAGAGGGACTCACACATCTGGACCTCCATGGGTTATTAGGTACTTTCCAGTCTGGGCAACCAATGAAATAATACAACACAGTAGTAAAAACAGGTATATACAGTAATTACACATCCCTGCCCATCTTTCCCTGCCCCCGCCCCCAACCCACTCCAACAACTACACTACTAGCCATTGCCCACATAGGCAATAAGGGAAGGGGACCAGAGGAGACTGTCATACATCCGACCTCCACATGTCATTGGGTACTTAAATGTCCTATGAGAAGGACATTGTACGAAATGAATTAATAGTACAAAGTGGTAGCAAATTTATTTATATACAGTAAGTATATACCCCATTCTCTCCTACACCACAATACAAAGCAAACTACTCTATCAGTTACTGTCCAAAGAGGCAATAAGGAAAAAAAATCTGTCATTCTCTGAACCTGTTTCATTAAGTATATAATGCATCCATGCAAAAGAACATTTATAAAATGAAAAATAAATAAGTAGCATAGCATTTATGTACACCTGAAAGAATGATATACATCTCCCCCTACACCCAAGCCTAGATCAAAACAGCAACCACTACTCTATTTGCTATTGTCCATGCAGGCAACAAGGAAAGGGGTAAACGGGACATCTGTCCGACTTCTGGATCTCCACGCTTCATTATCCATGAGAAGGATGAACGAAATACAAAATGAAGCAACACCCACAAAATAGCAGCAAAAACATTTTGTACACGTTTTTAAAAGAACATACTCTGCTCACCTCTCAATATCACCACCTCCTTCCAAAAAAAGGAAATAAAAATCTACTCTAGAGCTGTTGCCCACACAGACACTATGGGAAAGCAGAAGAGATTTTCATGGACAATATTTCACTTTTCATCAGGACAAAATATACAAAATGAAAGGATATAAAAACACATCAAAACCACCTATGTACATATTTAAAGTATATACCCCCAAAAAGCCACTGAAAGAAATCAGTCAACACTACTCTACTAGCGATTGCCCACGCCGGCAATAAGGGAAAGGGAGAAGAGGAGATTTATCATACTTCTGGACCTCCACTTTTCATTTGGTACTTACTTGCCGATACAGAGAATGAAGCACACAATACAAGAATGCAAAAAACAGCAAAATTATATACATTATTTTAAAAAATAAAAATGGGGCTGAGGGGAAGCTCTTTAAAAAGAGAGTTAATTCCAATAAAAACACTAAAAACAAAGGCAAAGGGGAGAAGAAGAGCTAGCTCATACTTAGGAAATTCAGGTCTTGTTCTGCAAACTTAGCCCAGGAACTGCTATGCTTGGTGATGATACATCTCCTGAGATGCACAGGCCTTCCCTGCAGCCCCATGAAATGCAAAGGCATTATGGGAATGGTCAGCAATCTGACTGCAGATTATGGTTCCAGGTACTTTAGTCTGAGTAGAATGTTTTTAAAATCCAACTTGGTAACAGGCTATCAGTAATCCAACAAACTCAGCACTTAATTTTCATTTCTTACTGTACAATATTCAGAAAGCATTCTATTCTGTACCCAGTAAGACTGATGCAGCTCAACATCTCTATGTACCCAGGGCTCTTCTGCCAGCTCTTTTGTTCCTACAATGGACAAGTACAATAAAATGAAAACATGAATGGCAAAGAATATTAGAGTCAAGTGGAACCTGTGATAGCAAGAAAGTTCATGAACACTGAAACAATGGCAGAGAACACTTAAATTCACTTAAAGAGATTTATGTAAATCAGTAAGATGAACGAAGGTGCAGGCTTATGGTAGAGGCTGACACTCCTTGCAGTTTAATACTTCCAATCACTTGATATTAACAGAACAAACTGGACTCCTTGGATTTCTACTTTCATAGCCTAAGTTCTGTGTTCCCACAACTCCAGATTTTCCATTCTATGTTTCCTAAGGATCAAGATGTGTCTTTGACATTACATTCAAGCAGACTGTCTCTCTGCAATGAATATAATACTTGTCAAACAATTGTATCATGGACCTATGTGCTTATATAAAAAAGCATACTGTGGCTAACTGCTGTGCTTCAGTCTACTTGACTTCTCAGAAATTCAGTGGCCAAGATAAAGTTTTTGGGGGAAAACTTCAAAAGCTACAATTATACTTACTATACTACATGTTTTACCTATTACTTAACCTTATGTTCCTGATTTAGGTTAATTTTTAGATGTCTCATATAGATTGATTAGCATAACAATGAAAATTATGGAATTCTGTGGGAAAACTTGAGGTAAGACCTACTAAAACTGCAAATAGTCTGAGATGAGGCCCACAAACACAACTATAAATAGTAGGGATACAGTTTCATGGGAATGAACGGCTTTTGAGTACAAAGATAGCAATAGTATATGAGTTACCTCTTAGCTGAAGTTTTGATAAGGTTTTACTTATAATAATAACACCCCCCCCCATACCACACACACACTCTCACAGGAAAAAATGATATAATTCAGGACAAGATCTGCCATATGCAGTTAACACATGATACAGGAGCCATGTGAAGATGGGCAGATAAAACTGAAGCATCTTAACTGAATTTGAGAAGTAGCAAAATTTAAACTCTGTATCAAAGTGGAATTTAGTAATATAACATGGTAAAAAAACAACCCCGCAACAACAAAAAACCTCAAAAGTTTAATATTTTTCCCCACTCTAAAAATATAAAAACTCACTAACTTTCACTATCAACTAAATTATCATTCATTTACTGAAGCACAAGAGGAATAAAAACCTACAATTACCCCAGTTTCAATAAGACATCTTTAGATGATGCTGTGGTTCTCAGGATATAATGTTTTCTATTCTAAAACAGACAGATAAATATTTAGAAAAGACTAAATTCGGTGAAAACATACTAGGAGTAAAGAAAGCTATATTTCAGCTTGCCAGCCTTTTAAATTTTGTTATATAAAAATATTTTCATAAAATAAAATATAGTTTTATACACAATCCCACGTTTTCACTTTACACTTGCTGAATAAAAAAAGGTGACCTTTCCCATTGTCTGATTCTGTGGAGTGTTTTTAAGTGCTTGAAAATGGGTAATTATCCTCTTTTTACAAATATGTTTTTAAACACAATATAAAGTACAAGAATTATTTGGAAGAAAGCTTTTCTCCTAAGAATCAAAGAAACACCATAATCAAAATATAAGTCTGCAGAACTCACAAAATTCAAGTACAGTATTTCTCCTTTAGAAGGAGTAAAAATGCCATACAGTTTTGGATTTCTCCTCCCTTCCTTCCTTCATTTCTTTTCCTTCCTTCCTTCCTTCCTTCCTTCCTTCCTTCCTTCCTTCCTTCCTTCCTTCCTTCCTTCCTTCCTTTCTCTCTCTCTCTCTCTCTCTCTCTCTCTCTCTCTCTCTCTCTCTCTCTCTCGACAGTCCCTTTAATTTGCTAGTTTGGCCATGGTAAAATAAAACTATGATTTTTCAACTAAAGAAAAGTACTGTATTTGATAGTGGGGAAAAATTCAAAGCCCACCATATTCCATATGAATCAAGTTACTCCTTTCTCACATTCTCTCATTCCTTTAAGGTACTATGGTGAACTTCAAATAAAAATGTTCAATTTCTCCAAGGCCCTACTTTAAAATGTTTCTAATGTGCTACTCTATCATATAAAATGAAAAACCCACCCATGGGTATGATTCAGAGAGAAAGTGTCTAAAATCTATCATGCCAAAAGATATATAAAAACAACCTATATTTTTAGTAACAGTGATAAAGTAATGATAAAAGATACCAGTATAACAAAATGTTTGCCATAACTGTGAAAATACTTATTTATATAAGGTATATCTAGGGCAGGGGATGGAGAGGTGTACAGATATGGAGAATATTGAAACTTATGAACAAAATAATTATAATTAAAGCTATCTTAGTTTGAAACATTTTCCTAAAAGATGAAAAAGAAAATGTTAAACATTGGGAAAATATAATCTTTTGGCCTTGTTATTTAGCTTTTTAATATAACAAAAATTTAAAAATTCTGTAGCACCTAGCTATTCTGCAGAAAAAAATATAATAGTTATAGTAGATCTTATTTAAAAATTTTCCAGGAAATAAAGGATTAATCAAAACCCCAAATAAAGTAGATCTGCACACCTGAGATGAGCTCTCTACAGTTGCATGCTTCATCGACTTCACTGATTGCCATACTTTTTGAAGTGTTACCACATTCAACAACTCTATCAACAAGAAGCAACAAATGGCTCACAAACCAGCAGCCTGCAACGATGGCTGGCGGCTCCCATGGTAGGTCTTTCCTTGTTTCACTGGGCCAGTACTTTACCCATACTGAGAAATAGAACAAAATTCCAAGCCACTTTATTCCCCATTTGGGTATCTTCAAAGTATACACATTACTTGTTGTTTTTGTAGATGGTTGGCATGTGAGTGAATGTAATTTTGTAATAAATAGCTACGTACTGCCCAAAGATGTTTCAGAAAGACCGATGGACCCTGAGCGAACTACAACTCCTAAGAGGGCAAACAACTCAGCAGCGATCCTTGGCTTCCCCCTGGCTTTTGCAAAAGTTACAAACAGAGCCCAAGTTAACAAGCTCTCTGACGGGTGACAAAATGAGGTGCGGTTGTGCATGCTACAGCCACAGCGTCAGAGTTTTAAGGTTCTTCTCCATCCACTGGATATTCAGCTGAATGACTTCCAAAGCCTCCTGGACACAACGAAGCTGAAAGGTTGCCTCTGACTGATTTTCAAAGAATGCCTGGACCTGTAAGTTGCACACAGAAATATTTCAAAAGAAGAAAATAACAGTTAATCTCAGGTAACTCTGAATATCCTTTTCAAATAAACTTTCACTTAGTTCTGGCTGTGTTGATGTCTTAAAAGTAGAGATAAAAAGTATTTTAATATCCAGGGTAGTTATATCAAGTTACTAATCAAGTATGGTTAAACTGAGGTAATTTTAAAAACGCATTCTCCTTACTCCCATAAGGATGAGTTTTTCAAATATAAAATAAAATAGCCAAGTAATAGTGAGATAAAGTCCAAAGTTAGGCTTGGTGCCCAACTTTTACCCTTGAAGTTGCATTCTTCACAACAATCTCATTACCACTTAGAAACTTGGCATATACTGGTCTTAATTACAAAATTATTTGTGTCAAGGAGACAAGGGGATATTGTTGAGAATGGAATCAGAGTTTTTCCTCACCGGAATTGTTTCTCATTGCTGTATATCCACCCTTTAGACGCAATCCCAATGCAGAATCATTAGCATTGATGAAGGCAGAGGAGGGACAGGAATTGGCATGAAAAGCCACCATCTGACTTAAACTGAGCAGCCTGAGAGGAAAGGTATACCCCATCTCCGTTAGCAGCATTTTATACAACTAACCTCCGACAAATGTGCCTTCGTTGAAAACAGGTGAGTTGATCCAGCAACAATACTTTGTATGGTATAGGAACCCAGATGGAACCTGCAGAAACACAAATACAAGAGCAAAAAGAGCAAAAAGTGAGGCAGCTGTTGGTAAGCTAAGTTCCCGAGTGCAAAGGAAATGCTTTCCTGAGAGCTACGTATGCCAAGGCAGAGTCTCGTCCCTCTGCTGGGAACTGCAGCTCCAGAAGTCGGGAGAAGTCCTACATGCACTACTGCCTGTGGGAAGGAAAGGTGGGCACAAAAGGCAGGAGCTGGCAATACCCAGATAAATTATTAACCCATTTGAAATCATAGGAAACATCCTGAAATGTAATTATTGCTTTAAAAGAAAAAAACCCTATCTGTGCTGTTTACCTGGGTGTGAGTTCTGAACTGATCCCTTGGCAATGAAGAGGCATTTTTCAACACACATAACTAAACTGCTCTTCTGATTTAGCCCGTGCCCATGCTAAGCTAAGTGACCCGGAGTCGGGCATGGCTAGGCTTGATTAATACCCAAATGTGATTCACATTATGGAATTATGCTTACAAATGTGAAAATTTCTGAGTGTTTTGGTTAAATGTTACTGAAGCATTTTCCTCTCACAGCAAATCATAAGGCCTGTGAACCAATACAACATTGGGAATAGTTTTCAAGTGCAGAGACTGGAAACACTAGGATCTGGAATTCTGAGACACTTACTTCTGTACAAGCTTGTTCCAGTTCTCTTTGACGAAATCCCATGCCAGTAGGTGTCCAGGGAAATGTCGGCCCACTGTTCTTATGACAAATGACAGCTTTTGTGTTCGGATGGTATCTCCACTGAGGCTAGTTTTCATCAACCTGAAAAGCGAACAGATTTAGCTTCCAAAATAACAATTCATGATGAAGTGATGACTGAACTTAGATTAGTGCTGGTCTCCTAATTAAAGCTCTGTAGCAATTCAAGGGATATCACTTTTGGGTTAGTCTAAGATTGATCAATAGATTGAAAACTTGTCATTTTTTTAAAATGAAGAAGGAATTCACCAATGAGATAAGTACTTCAATATACTGTGACATAATAATACATACTTCTTGATATAGTAAAGACATTTGAGAAATAAACCCTGGTAGAATTTATAATTCTGAAGACTGATTTTTTTGTCCTATTAAAAACCTTAACATAAAAAAAATTAATTTTAATATAAGGTATATTATTACTCTTTAAAAACTGGGCTGTTTAAATAATATGAAAATGAAGACACATTTCAGAATATACTCTTGATATTGATAGTTATTTATTAATATTTCATATGTACCAGGTAATGTTTTAAATTGCTGACACAACAACACTTGAAAAAAGGTAATTATTACCTATGCCCACTCTGTAAGAAACCGAGGTTATGTAATTGCCCCAGTTACACTGCTAGTAAATACTGCAGCCTGGCATCTGAACACAAGCACTTCTCATCTACTGCGCTATGAAATCTGTGTATATAGAGAAAACACATTTCCCCCCCAAAATGCAGCAATACTTTTAATTGAAAGAAAACCCAAGTGCTCATCAAGCTGTGATGGGTTAAACAAACTGTGATGGAGCCCTACTATGGAATACTATGCATCCATGCAAACAAATGAAGTAGGCTTCATGAACTGACATGGCAAATCTCAGAGAAGATCACTGGCTGAAAGGACCATCACAAAACACTGGGGACAGTATAAACTATCCTAATCTATATAAAAAGCCAGGTGCCGTCACCACCGGACGGATGACCAAACAGCAGGCTAGGGAGCTGAGGGGGTGGGAGCTGTGGGCCCAAATGACCAAAGGGCAGGTCTGGCTCTCACTGCGTGGCGGAGCGGGGCTGTGGAGGCTGAGGAGCCTCGCAGAGCAGGGGGCTGTGAGCATGGAGCTTCGCAGGGCAGTGAGGCGAAGGAGCGTTGGGGGGGGGGTGGGGGTGGCTGAGGCGGAGGAGCGTCACAGGGCGGTGGAGGCGGGGCAGGGATTGTGATCATGGAGCTTTGCGCAGTGAAGGAGTGTCGCAGGGCAGGGGCAGCTGACGCCAAGGAGCCTCGCAGGGCGGGGGGCTGTGAGCATGGAGGTTCAGGGGCCACGGAGATGGAGGAGCGATGCTGGGGGGCGGACATGGCCCTGATTGCAGCTAGGCCTAGGGATTCTAACTGCGCACGATTTAATCGTGCACTGGGCCTCTAGTGTTGATATATAAATATACAGACCAGGATTGACACTGTTAGCAGACAGAACAAGAATGGAAGTAAGGATCATATGAGAGAATCATATGAGAGATACTTTCATGTTTTATTCCATTTTCTTAGATATTGTTTAAATACTTTATAATGGGAATTTATTAGTGTGTTATTTGTTTAAAACAAAATTATTACCAATTTAGAACAAACTTTTCTCTGTTTGCTTGGATCAGAGGCTGGCTACTACGTTAAGGAAAATAATTATTTACAGCGCATCCTTTGGAAAGTAGGTGTGGGCCGGTGCTGATGACATCTCTGGGACACTCTTAGGATTTATCTGAGTACATTTATACAAGAGAAGCAGTGACACATCAATGCCTCCCTCTGACCTTCCCAGCGCTGACCCTCAAGCTCCTTTCATATTTCCCTTGGATCCCGGTGCTCCTCTGCCCCACCACTGCTGGCTCCTGGGTCAGGAGGCCCTGCTCACTGCCCTTCTTTCGCCTGTGAAACTCCCATTTCCAGGTTTTGTCCAGTCAATATTAGAAAGGAAATGTCTGACAAGTTCATATGAAAGTAGAGCCTATACGCTTTTACATAATACCTTTTTCTGTAGTGTTTGCATTTTCAAAATGACAGCTTGGACAGAGCAATGCCTTGACCAGGAGAATGAAGCACTAACTGTGGAATGAAGACAATACGCCAAGGGGGCGAAGCCATGTTTAAGCAGAAAGTAGGTGGGTGCTGGGATTCTGGGCAAAGCACCTCTGCCTATCGGTCCAGTTCCTGAGCTGAAAGCCAGCACATGCGGGCTCCTTACCCCATTGGCCAAGTCAGGTCTGGCCTGCGAGTAAAAGGAGGAAAAGGGAGATCCCAAAGGAAATGAGCTCTCCACCCGTGCAGCACAATGCTTTCATACTTTTGGTTTCTACATGTCTATTCCTTGGCTGGTTTCATACCAGTAAAGTTTCCGTACATCCTCTGAACTGGCAAGAGCTTCAAGTATTTTATTCTTCTCTGCTTCAGAGCCTATAGAGATGTACTTGCTTAAGAGGAACGACCAGCCGCTCTCAGTCCTTGCTCCAACTTTGAACACAGCAGTCATGACATCAGTAGGTAGGCTGTAAGAGAGGTACTCAAATGTGAGAACAAAAACATCCTAAATTCAAAGGTAAGGAAATGACTAGTGGTGATGTTTTAGGGGTCAGAGCAGAGCAGTACAAAAGAGTCTTCACTGTACAACTAACCAATAGTGAAAAAAATAGTTAATTTAGTGGCTGCTACTTTCCTAGTTGGTGGGACTAGAAGAAATATGACTTCAATTTAATACAATAACTATTTGCTGAGCATCCACAAAGAACCAAGCAGGTGACTGGCTGGATAATGGAGAGGGGAAGAAAGAGACACAGTCTTTGCCTCTAGGAACTCGCAGGCTATCACAAAGTACAGAACAAGAAATATATTCATTACAATACAGTGTGTTAAGTTCCATGGTAGAAATATGGAGCGAGGGATGAGAAGAGGGGAGGGAACATAGTTTTCTGCCATTATTAAAATCTCTTTATCTGGTGCTTGAATCTTTTTCCATAATGCCCAATAGGGAACCTAGAGAGAACCGATCATCATCAAACTGTTTTTACTAATTGCTAACTCCACCTGCTATGTTTTATTCCTAAATTAAAAGAGACTCTTTGACACCTCACACCCATTAGGATGGTTGCTATAAAACACACACAGACAGACACACACACACACACACACACACCCCAGAAAATAACAAGTGTTGGTGAGGATGTGGAGAAATTGGAAGGAACCCTTGTGCATTGTTGGCGGGAATGTAAAATGGTGTAGCTGCTATGGGAAATAGTGTGTCAGTTTCTCAAAATATTAAAAATAGAACGAACATATGATCCAGCAATCCTACTTCTGGGTATATATTTGAAATAACTGAAAGCAGGGCTTCAAAAACATATATGTACATCCATGTTCATAGCAGCATTATTGGTAAGAGCCAAAAGGTGGAACCCAAATGTCTATTAGTGAATGAATGGGTAAGCAAAATGTGGTATATACATACAATGGATTGATTATTCAGCCTTAAAAAGGAAGAAAATTCTGACACATACCACAACATGGATGAAGCCTGAGGACATGTTAAGTGAAACAAGCCAGTCACAGAAAAACAAATACTGTATGATTTCACATAAATGAGGTATTTAGAGCAGTAAAAACTCATAAAATAGAAAGGAGAACGGTAGTTTCCAGGGGCTTGGGGAAAAGGGAAGGCGGGGACTTATTTGGGTAAGAAGTTTTGGTTTTGCAAGATAAAGTTCTGGAGATTTGTTGCACAACGAGGTGAATATGCTTATACTACCAACTTGTACATTTAAAATTTGTTAAGATAGGAAATTTTATGTTACATGTAATTTGCCACAAGAAAAAAAAAAGTCTTATTTGAGAACATAAGTGCCTAGAGTTCACACACATTAACACTCAGTTTTATAACATGTATGACCCAGGATGAAAAGATCCTGCTTTTAGTACATGATGTGAAGTAAAGATGAGGAAGAGAGTTCATCTGAGTAAAAGCACAGCTCACCTTAGAGTTCCATTGGATGCAACCCACTCGTCAAACAGCTTCAAGGCAGTAGTGCTGCAGTTCTCTAGGTTGTGGACGCAGGCAAATTCTAGCAAGGCTGACCGCAACTCTCGAGCAGATGGAGAGCCATCATCAGTCCAATTTTGCTGTTGAATTTGGCTTTGAAGCAATTTAGATACCCTGGCCTAGAGAGACAAAATAGATTACAATGGAATAATAATAATTAGGACGACCAGGAAAATCAGGACAACTAGATCTCTTTTTCCCAACATTTACCCAAGAAGAAAAAGAGGGAGAGGGACAGAGATATTACTTATTAAATATCAACTGCCCACAAATAGCTGAGATGAACCATTCAATGACACAGTTTATACAAAAGGCTGCTATAGCCAACAGGGACTTTTAATGACATGACACAGAAAGAATTGATGGCTTCTCTGCAGTAAGGAACCTTTCTCCAGTGTATACTCAGCAAGAAGTTATTTTCCTGACCCAAAGTACCAACTGCAAGAAGGAAGTTGGAACTTCCTGGCCTCGTGACTTTAGAATTCATAAATATAAAAAGCAGTGTGAGAGAAAAATATAGTTCTTTACTGTTTAAATGTTTCTAAATCTAATATTAAATAAATACTTCAAATATTGATGCTGTAACAAATTAATCTAATTAGTGAGAAAATGAGTACTGTAGGAAAGTATAGTTGTTTATTGTTATTTTCTCTCCCAATATTTATAAAAAAATTCTGAACCTACAGAAAAGCTACAAGAATAGTACAATAAACACCCATATGCTAGATTCACTGTTTTCTAATACTCTTACATTTGCTTTGTTTCTATGTGCATGTAACACACACACATACATATATATTTTTATGGTTTTAGCTGAACCATGAGAGTAAGTTACAGATATCATGATATTTCATTTATAAATACTTTAGCATGCAACTCCCAGAAATAAGAACATTCTCTATTATCACTCTGAAAGAAATTCAGTTATTCAGTAATACTATCCACTATTTCAGTCCACTGTTAATAGTTTCTTCTGAATAAAATGTCATTCTTAAATGTATACTTATGGTATTAAGAAATCAATATAGCTATTTCTTTTTCATCTCTCCCACAACAAAAGTGTAAAAGCTGTTCACAGTATATGGAAATATTTCAATGTTGCTAGCTGTGGTACATGGGGAGGGGTGAGGACACACGGGTTTTTAAAAAATCATCATATAAAATATGCATGCATGAATGCTACTAAAAGGAACACAAATTTTAATATAAAATGCTTAGAGGTATTTTTTAGAAAACCTCATGGCTGTAAATAAGAAGAAACAAAATAAAAAAATTTACAGCCACATCCTGCCCGCAGGGTCTCGGGCAAGGGCAGTTCTTCTTTCCACAGGTTCTTCTTTAACAGCATCACCCTTATCACGTCTCATCTCAAGTAGTCAAGTACCACAGATGACCACATACAAAAACTCAACCCCAGAAAAGTAGTTCAAGTTCTCCATAGAGCATTATATTCTTACAGAGTACCACTGTCAATACTTAAAATGAATCCGAGGCAGAGACTTGTAAACTGCGAGGCTATTTTCTCAGAAGACCTCTGAATAAATCTCTTGTGGAACTATGAGAATGGAATCAAGAATCCGTGCAAGGAGGACTCAAAGTTTGTGATGACATGATAACTTGCTATTGTTTGCTTGCTTCAAAGTAATAAACAGGAGAACAGACACCTTGTGGAATGTCTGAGTAAGCTTGTGAGTCATTGGGAGGATGTGAAGCGGAAACATAAAAGCGATGCAGACCCTCCTGGATACACATGACCACTTTGGTATATGCTGTCTTCACTGGCCTGACCTCAACAGCATCACAACAGAAAACCATCCCAAGTGACTGAAGCAAAAAAGAAAACCATCCCAAGTGACTGAAGCAAAAAAGACTTAAGCTACTCATAACTGTCAAATAAAAACAAAGAAGGGATGAGAAAGAAAAAAAGTCACATGCTTGAAATACTATTTTAAAGAGTTCAGTGGAGCCTGGCTGGTGTGGCTCAGTGGTTGAGCATTGACCCATGAACCAGGAGGTCACGGTTCAATTCCCTATCAGGTCACATGCTCGGGTCACAGGCTCAATCCCAGTAGGGCACGTGCAGGAGGCCGCCCTTCAATGATTCTCTCTCATCATTGATGTTTCTATCTCTCTCCCCCTCTCTCTTCCTCTCTCTGAAATAAAAAACATTAAAAAAAAGTTCAGTAGCCGAAACCGGTTTGGCTCAGTGGCTAGAGCGTCGGCCTGTGGACTGAAGGGTCCCAGGTTCGATTTCGGTCAAGGGCATGTACCTGGGTTGTGGGCACATCCCCAGTAGGAGATGTGCAGGAGGCAGCTGATCGATGTTTCTCTCTCATCTCTCTATCTCTCTCCCTCTCTGTAAAAAATCAATAAAATATATTAAAAAAAAAAGTCAGTAGAGAAAAATGCCAATGCTCCTTGAGAATTAACTAAAACATAAAGAAGCTAGTACAAAAAAAATGTTGTTGGAAAGGACTCGAGGCAAGAGGAGCATGAACCTTGAATAGGCTAATTCCTGAGCAGTTACTCCATCGGAATTACATGACGAAATTTTACTAGTTATTCCCTGTTCACCAAGAGGAATTACCAAATAGTTGATTTGAAATATATTTCAAATGATAACATAATAGAGTAAAATATTTCCTTTTAAAAAAGAATTAATTCTTTTTTAGAAAATTTCAGGTTATATTTTTAGTATTAACAAGCCATAACAAGTGCTTTGAATTACCTTTGCCTTCTACAAATAAAATTAAAACTATTTTTTCCATGGTTCTAAATTAATTTTTGAAATTTAAACTCATTAAACATTAGAATCCCATCCTCTGATTGCATAAAATGAAAATGGCAAATGGGGAGAGGGAATGTAGATACTACGCACAATTTAAGGAGTTAAACCTTTTGAATATTTTTCTCCTCTGACACTTAAGTAGGGTTATACAAATTACAAACATTGGATATGTAATAAAATACAACAACAACATAAAATGATTTAAAAAATAAAACAGGGATAGATGCTGGCACTTATGCTATGTATTACATTTTGATTTACTACTTTAATTTTACACTGATATGCCCAGGGAGTGCTTTCATGGGTCAACTGAGCTTCTTAAAAGTGAAGTGTCAGCCTCAATTGCAAAAGGTTATCCCACCAATCCCTCATACATACAAGAATGACAGACTTATAAGTGATGAGACAGGAATACAGCTAGGATCAGATGTTAACATCATATGTGAACAATCTAACACAATTCAAGTGTGCCTCCAGCCCCTACACACCACAACACCACAGCACACATCACAAAATGTGATATATGGGTATGTGCTACGTAGGTATGTGCAGCCTATACAACAAAATGACCAATAAATGTACATTCTGCTCTGGCGACAATGACATAAAAATTAGACACCAGTCCTAATCATAAATACTACTGAAGACTGGATGCAAAGACTCAGAAATGTCTGCCATTCCAATCTCCGACTATAGTGGGTCAGACTTCATACTTTGAGAGTTTTGATGCTACAAGAATGTCCTAAAATTTGAATAAGAATTTTAAGGAGACAGTTTCTCCCTCTGGATGAATTGAAGCTAAACTTTTAACTAACCATCAATAGTATGCAATCTCCATCAGTAAAAGGGCCTGTGGTCTTCCAAACACATACTCAGCCTCCTGTCCTCACCTTCTGGACCCCACTCTGAAGTATGTTCTTAATAAGCACATACCTGCCCAGCACACTGGAAGTCATCATCAGGAATGAAGATGCGGAGTTACTTGATTAGGAAAATATTCAAAAGGCTTAACTCCTTGAATTGTGTTTCGCATCTATAGTCTCACTCAGCACAGGGCTAGCTTGAGGTAAGTTATCAAGTGCTTCCTGACACTGGGCCTCAACAGTTAAGGAGAGAGGCAGAGGAAGAGTAGCTTCTGGGCAGCTTCAGAGTAGATAGATATTCCACCTTCTCTTAGAGTACATTCAGTACCAACACTGTTCTTTAATACTGAAAAGAAGTGAGTAACAAATACTAATGCGGCTACCTATACTGGGTTGAACAGTATGCCCCCAAAAGTCATGTCTGACTGGAACCTGTGACTGTGGCCTTATTTGGGATCAGGATTTTTGCAGATGTAAATAAACTAAGAGGAGGTCATACTCGATTATAGTGGGCCCAAACCCAATGATGGGTGCCCTTGCAAGAAGAAATTCAGACAAAGAAACACAGGAAGCATGCCATGTGAAGACAGAGGCAGAGATTGTAGTAATGCAATTACAACCTAAGGAATGCCAAGGATTGCTAGCAAGCCCCTGAAGCTGAGAGAGACACATGGAATAGATTCTCCCCCAGAAGAAACCAAACTTACCCTAATAACACTCTGATTTAAGGCTTCCAGAACTGTGAGAAAATAAAGTTCTGTTGTTTTAAGACACCCAGTTTGTAATAATTTATTACGATGGCCCTAGGAAACTAATATATTACCCCAAATAGTGTTGATTTGATATGGCACTAATAATCCCAAAGTAGTTATAGAAATTCTATAATAAAAAATGTATACAATGAAGTACACTGGTGCTGGATCACTTAGATATCCATATTGAAAAGAAAGTAATATTTATGTTTACCTCACACCATATACAAAAATCAATTCCAAATAGATCATAAATCTAAATATAAAAGGTAAAAAAAAGTTTTCAGAGAAAAACTTAGGAGAATTTATTGGACTAGGCAGATTTCATACCTTAAAATTAAGAATTTATGTTAATTAAAAAAATCATTAAGAAAGTGAAAAAGGCCAAAGCCGGTTTGGCTCAGTGGATAGAGCGTCGGCCTGCGGCCTGAAGGGTCCCAGGTTCGATTCCGGTCGGGGGCATGTGCCTGGGTTGCGGGCATATCCCCGGTAGGAGATGTGCAGGAGGCAGCTGATCGATGTTTCTCTCTCATCGATGTTTCCAACTATCTCTCTCCCTTCCTCTCTGTAAAAAATCAATAAAATATATATTTTTTTAAAAAAAGAAAGAAAGTGAAAAAGCAAGCCAGAGTAGGAGAAGCTATTTAGAGGATATTTGCAAATATACATGATAAACAAAGGACTCATAAATAGAATATATGAAGAAGTCTTAAAAAAAAAAAGAAATCTTGCATATCAATAAGAAAAAGGCAGACAATCCAATAGAAAAACAAATGAAAGACTTGGGTACAAGAGAGAATATCCAGCCCTGGCCGGGTGGCTTAGTTGGTTGGAGCATCGTTCCGTACACCAGAAGGTGATGGGCTTGATTCCCAGTCAGGGCACATACCCGGGTTGCAGGTTCGACTCCTGGTCGGAGTGGGTGCGGGAGACAATTGATCAATGTTTCTCTCTCACATCTATGTTTCTCTCTCTTTCCCTTCCTCTCTCTAAAATTCAATTTAAAAAAAAGAGAGAGAACGCCCAATGGTCAATTAACATATCAAAAGAAATTCATCTTCACTTAGGGCAGTGGTTCTCAACCTTCCTAATGCCACGACCCTTTAATACAATTCCTCATGTTGTGGTCACCCCCAATTTCATTGTTACCAACTGAACATAATTAAAGCATAGTGATCAATCACAAAAACAATATGTAATTATATATGTGTTTTCCAATGGTCTTAGGCGACCCCTGTGAAAGGGTCATTCGACCCACAGGTTGAGAACCGCTGACTTAGGGAAATATAAATTAAAGCAAAAATTACAATACTATAGTGCACCCATCCAAATGGCTAAAAGAAAAAGGTTACTATTAATATAAGTGTTGACAAATAATAGATCCAAAATAGACCTTGAATTCTCATACACTGCTGATGGAGTGTTAAATTGGTGTAACTCTGAAAAATGATTTGGTAGTACAGCATTAACCATGCATATGTTTTGATTCAGCAATTCCATTTTCCAGACACATACCCCATAGAAACTCATCAAAGACATGTATAAGAATATTTGTAGCAACACTGTTTATAATAGCTCCACACTCCAAACAACCCAAATGTCCATCTACAGTAGCTGAACTGGCTAACAAATGGCCAATTTCTTTAATAAACTAATAGTAGCAAGTCTGTGTCAGATTATAACTTTGCCCCAAAGAGACCAATGAGTTAGCTGTATACTTCTTGGAAATGTACATCAGTACTATAAAAAATACTGTTACTAACATTTTAGGTATAAAAGAAATCTCATATAGTAAGTGGACAATTTCATTTTCAAGGAAGTAACTAGATGTGGGTCTGTAATTTTAAACCTTAAGCACATGGTCTCCAAGCTTTTCAATCTGTTTTAATTTAAAATCTGAGTCTAAAAGAGAATGATAGCAAAAAAGAAAAAGCTTTGATATTTCCCAACAAAAAGGTATCATTGGAAAGATGACATTGTTAGAATACAAATTAGTTTAAAATATAGCAACATAAGGCAAAGAAGAGGTTCTGAAGTAAAACCAATGTGGGTTAGAATCTCAGCTTTATAATTGACTGGGTAAGTGACTTTGGCAAAGTTATTTAGTCTCCTCATTTATCTCATGAAGGTAGAAATATCCATTTGGCATTGTGTGAGGATCAAACAAGGTAATCAGCACTAAGCACTAAGCATGGTGTACAGAATATAATAAACACTGACATGGACTTGTTTCTGGAGTGTCTCGCTCATTTATTCATTCCACATTTACTGAATGCCACTATGGGCTGGGGCACATTCCAGGAGCTGGTTTTTATTAAGGCTGGCAGTTAAAGCCTTATGAAATTGGAGAATGATAAAAATCTATCAATTAGAAGAAACCTCAGAAATCATCTAACTTAAGAATCTCACTTATGGGTAGAGCTGGGGCTGGTTCCTTTGGAGTCAGATCATTAACTTGTGAGGGACGGTGTTTTTCAAGCTCCATATGGCCCACCTGCCCTACATTCCCTTCCCCCAATGAGAATCATCCCTGTGATAAGAACTCATCATAAGGGGTACACAGTAGATCAGTAAAAGTGGCAGAAAGAAGATTGTTTTTTTAAAAAAAGATTTAATCCAATCCCTTCCTTTTACCAGTGAAGACACCAAAACCCTAAAAGACTTAATCTAATTCCTGGTCCAATACTTTCTTCCTTTTTCTGAAAGCTGCCTTTTACTTGGTCCCTGGAAAACCTGACTAGTTTACAAAGCAAACCCTGTGGTCAGAATGTGCTGATTTAGAGAAGTGGATAAAACAAAGGATGCATCACTCCCTTCCAAGCTTTTAAAGACTCAGCCAACAGTTTAACACTGAAAGTGTCTAAAATAACGACTGTTAAGATCAGGCAACTGTTTTTTTTAAAAAAGGTAAAACAGATTCCAATACCAAGACTCCCTTACTGCTTTGCAGAGAAATACCAGCATCCTCATCCATAAGACAGGTATTAGAAGGGCTCCTAAACAATAATCCCAATACAAACATGACTGCCATTTAATATTGACTACTAGGATATTAATGGAAGCACTCCTTTTCAAAAGGGTCCATTTAAAGCATTTACTATATAAAAATTTGAAAAGAAAAAGTTTCTTTTCATGTGATAGCAGTATGAGAAATCTATATGTTGATATTCAAACAAGACCACATCATGCTAAGCCTTTATCAACTCTTCATGGTAAGCAATGATATTTTGATTAAAAATAAAGATTTATTGGAAAGTGAAGAAAATGGAATTTCATTCCCTTTAAAGCCTATTACTGAATAACCACATTAAAAGCAATTAACAAAGAGAAGCTGGCAAAAAAGGCAGACTCACCACCAGTCTTGAGGCCAGATCCATATATCCTAGTTTTTCAAGGAGGTTATAGATGAGGCCTGTCTGAAACAGGGTTTCAGTGATGGGTGCAGTATGGGTCTCATTTCCAAGATAACCAATCAAATCAAAGGCCTTCTGAAGAGGCACTTTGCCTAGCCTAAAGGGTAAAGAACAGAAAAAGTAAACATGCTGAGAAAGGCAGATGAATTGTATGCATGCTGAGAAGTTTTATGGTCAGATGGTGTCTTGAAGACCTAAAATTTAAGCTTAGAGTGTCATTCTGTAAAGTTAGACTAAATATGATTACCTTTGATTAAGTTCATGTGTGTGACCCAGGGTTAAAGACACATTTCAGAAAAAAATGATAAACAATTGCTCCGTTTTTATTCCATGTCACCTGTAAATTGCTAACTCAGGAATTACGACATCTTAGATGAGAAATGATTCAAAGTACTAATTTTATTTGTTTTTTAAATTTCTTATATTTACCAGGTGAGAACAGGTGGCATAAGGAGAATTTAAAAAAGAAAGAAAATTATTTATATTGGAATTTATTTGTCAAACTTGTTAAAGTGAGGTCCACTATTAATTTATGCTGAGTACATCCTTAAAATCAACCATTTTATAGAAATCATAACAATGATGGCTGAGATAATATAATGTCATTTCATTAAAAAAAAAAAAAAGAACCAAAATAGGAAGGTCAAGAGCAGTCAGAAGGAACATTTTTTAATATTCCTTGTGTTTCTAGATCCATTAAAAACCTAAATTGGTAATCTTCCTATTCTGAAGATTCTCTATACACAAGGTCTCTGCCATTCTTGGCTTTGGGATTCCAGTAGCACACGAGGTGATGGAGGAGGCAAGTGGTACATAAATAAGGAAGCTCCAGATATAAGAACTGCCCCTCAAACTAGTGAGTAAGCACTAAGCATCACACAAACCAAGTGCTGCTTGAAAAGAATTCTATCAATAAGTAAAACAAAGCCTGAACTACATCAACTTATTCAGCAATATGGGTCGTGCTTGCTGGCATCTATATACTTGAAATGTTATGTAAATCTTGTTACTTAACTGTTCAATATTTGTAGCTAATTTTTCACTATAGATTATAAAGTCCCTCAAGGCAAGGACTATGCCTGACATTTTCCAGTTCCTCCAAAATGACGTATACCTAACAGGCAATACATGATACATGCTAGTTCTTTTGAACTTTTTTTCTAAAATGTTCTTTTTCTCAATATCACTTGTTTAAAAAACAAACAAACAAAATAAAACCAAAAATACTCTACCCTGCAAGTTCAAAGATGTTGTTGATGAGGTTGGCTCGGTCTTTGTCACTCAGGACATAAGGATTTATTTTCAACTGGTTGATTAGTGCATCCCAATCATCATCTGCATAATGTACAATATAATAGCCAGTCATGTTTGTATTGACTTTGATCCACTGTACTTCTTCTGTAAGATTGATGACATCTAATACAGATTAAAAAAAATGAGAGAGAGAGAGAGAGAGAGAGAGAGAGAGAGAGAGAGAGAGAGAGAGAGAGAAGGGTAATAGGGTAAGAAAAAAATTAAACAAATGCTTTGTTTCAAAGTTAATATGGTATATTTTTATGTTTAATTATCCTACTAAGAAACAGCTTTTTAATGCTGTTATTTTCACATTAACAAAGATTACCACTCACTCATTTAATAATTACTGGTATTTATTTAATGGTGAACAAGGTACTTATATCTCTTCTCGCATAGATCTTATAGTTTACTGTAACCAGGTAGGTAGAATTCATATAAATGTTATTGATGGAAAAAGAAAATATGATATTCTATGGAAGTACATAGAAGAAATGCTTCATTCCCTAGGGAAGTTAGGAGATTTCCTGGAAGAAATGACTGTTAGTTGAGACTTCAAGATATATAGATGTTAGCTAGGTAAAGAGTGTTCAAGACCTAGAGAGAAAGTATACATGGTGTCCATGCACTGAACTGGCTCCCAAGTTCATTGTGGCTAAAGGAGAGAAGCAGGGAGAAAGGGAAAATGTGTGTGGGGTGGGGCAGCAGGGGGAGATCATGAGAAAACTACATAAAATGTGTTCCATTGCAGCCTTTGTCTTTATGTTAGCAAAGGAAGAACAAATAAAGCCATTTAAAAAAGTCACGTAATTCAAATCTAGCAAAATAAACTTTAGGAAAGGATTAATGTCTCAACACGCACAAATAAAAAATAACTGAGTGAAAATAATAGAAAAGTGATTTGAATTTTTTTGGTCCAAACCATTACATACATAAATGTTGACAGAATTGTTAGAAATTAATGTGGAATGATTTCAATTAGTTTATAATTAATAGGGAGGAACAAACTATATGACTACAAAAATGTATTACTACAAAAGCTAACTACAAAATATATGTAATAAATTTTAAAGTCCTTAAAAATACTAATCAAGAAATGTCCTTCAATATCACTTGTTTAAAAAAAGACATGATTTGCAAAAAGGACATTATCTACACTAATAAAAGAGAAACATGGTAATTGGTGTACGACCGCTACCCTTCCCATTGGCTAATCCCCTGTCACTCACAGAGTAGGGCCGAGATATGCAAATTAACTGGCAGCCAAGATGGCAGCCGGCAGCCAGGCAGCTGATGCGAACAGGGAGGCTTGCTTGCTTCAGTGACGGAGAACTCCAACGTTCCCCGCCTGACTTGCCGGCCTCTCAGCTGCAAGTCTAAGCAACTATGTTGCGAATATAGAAGCTAATAAAACCCCAGAAACCTGCTTTACTCAGCGGGGCTTCAGCCAGCCAGACCGCAACATTGTATCAAATACAGACGGTAAACAAAGGCCAGAAATCTGTTTTCAGCAGCCGAGGCCGCAGAGCTAAAGCTGGCCCAGAATAAAATAAAAAAAAAAGAAAAAAAGGAGCGGTTGGGAGCTTCAGTCCCAGCCTAAAAACAGCCCTCAGCTCCTCAGCCAGACTGGCCAGGCACCCCAGTGGGGACCCCCACCCTGAAGGGTGTGTGACCAGCTGCAAACAGCCATCATCCCTTCACCCAGGCTGGCCAGGCACCCCAGTGGGGACCCCCACCCTGATCCAGGACACCCTTCAGGGCAAACCAGCCGGCACCCACCCATGCACCAGGCCTCTACCCTATATAGTAAAAGGGTAATATGCCTCCCAGCACCGGGATCAGCGTGACAGGGGCCAGCGCCCAAACCCTCTGATCGCTCTGCAGCTCTGTGTGTGACAGGGGGCGGGGCCCCAACCCCCCCTACCCCCCCACGGGCCCTTCTCTGTGTGTGACGGGGTAGAGCCATAACCTCCCCATTGGCCCTGCCCTGAGTATGAGAGTGGCGGTGCCCCAACCACCTGATTGGCCCTGCTCTGTGCATGACAGGGGGTGGCGCCGCAACCTCCCCATTGACCCTGCCTTGAGTGTGACAGGGGGCGGTGCCCCAACCCCCCAATCGGCCCTACCCTGAGCGTGACTGAGGGTGGCATCGCAACCTCCCAATCTGCCCTGCTCTGTGCATGACAGGGGAAGGCGCCCCAACTCCCCAATCGGGCCTGCTCTCAGCCCGACCAGGAGCTGCACCTAGGGATTGGGCCTACCCTCTGCCACCCGGGAACAGGCCTAAGCCAGCAGGTCATTATCTCCCGAGGGGTCCCAGACTGCGAAAGGGCACAGGCTGGTCTGAGGGAGCCCCCCTTCCCCCGAGTGCACAAATTTTTGTGCACCGGGCCTCTAGTTTTAATATAACAGTTGAGGGTATACTTCTAAGCGCCTTAAGGTTTACTATTTATTAGAATACTAGAGGCCCAGTGCACCAATTTGTGCACGGGTGGGGTCTGGCGGGGGGGAAGGGTGTGTGCAGGAGGCAGCCAATCAATAATTCTCTCTCATCATTGATGTTTCTATCTCTCTCCCTCTCCCTACCTCTCTGAAATAAAAATATATTTTTAAAAAATTATAAGAGAACTGGTGCAGCCACTGTGGAAGACAGTATGGAGCTTCCTCAAAAAGTTAAAAATGGAACTCCCATTTGACCCAGTAATTCCACTTCTAGGAATATATCCCAAGAAACCAGAAACACCAACCAGAAAGGATATATGCACCCCTATGTTCATAGCAGCTCAATTCACCATAGCTAAGATCTGGAAACAGCCTAAGTGCCCATCAGTAGATGAATGGATTAGAAAACTGTGGTACATCTACATAATGGAATACTATGCCGCTGTAAAAAAGGAACTTTTACCATTTGCAACAACATGGATGGAACTGAAGAGCATTATGCTGGGCGAAATAAGCCAGTTGGAGAAAGATAAATATCACATGATCTCACTCATATGTGGAATATAATGATCAACATAATTTGATGAACAAGAATAGATCGATCTAGAGACAAATGGTAGGGGAAGGGGGGTTAGAGAGCAACTAAAGGACTTGTATGCATGCATATTAGCATAACCAATGGACACAGACACTGGGGCAGTGGGGGCTTGCTCAGGGTGGGAATGGCTGGGGGGGGGGGTCAATTGGGGGAAAAGGAGACATGTAAAACTTGGGAAAATAAAAAAAACCTCAATGAAATAAAAAAAATTATAAGAGAAAGAGGAGTAGAGACATAAGGAAAATAATCTAAACTCAGATAATAATAGTACTTTGGGGTATATTTCCTGCCCAGATTTTTCCTATACACAATTTAATTAATGTAATATTCCATACTATGGATCTATATATATGCATTCATTTTTATACTTCATATTCATCTATCAGATTCCACCCCTTGCCATTTTTCCATTGTCTTCCTATTCAGTATTCAAATATCTTCATAATAAGTCTATTTCAAGACCTACTATAGTTTAGGAGTTTCCTATTTGGAAACAGTTAGGCTGTTTTAAAATTTTCACTATCATAATAATGCTGTGTGAAGGTTTTTGAACATATATTTTAGAAACACACTTAAATCCTTTAGTGTATGACATCTTAGGGCCTATCAACTTCAAAAGCATGAATTATTAAAATTTATCAGATCAGATTCTCTTAATATTTTATTTATTCTACTGAAACTACAAAAGATGTTTAAGATGGAAAAGATTTACATTCTGATTTTGTCTTAACATGACATATCTCAGACAATGTATTTTTCATTTAAAAATTCCATACTAATTTCTGTTTTATTGCTAATATAGCAGAAAAATCAATTATATTAACATAGTCTATTCCTTTTTCTAGAGCAGAATGAAGTTCTAAGGAATAACTGTGATGGCAACAGTAGCTGCTCCAAGTTGAAGACATTTTTAACAAAACTATGACTAAAGAAATTAACTTTATCATTAGCTAATACAAAAATATCAACACTCACCAGGTCACCAAACACAATTTTCTACAGATCTTTTATCAAGACAGGACCTTGGGGAGGAATGAAGAGCTCCAACTCTCCCTTTCTCTTAAAAGGAGGCAAGTAATGACAAGTATGGCATTTTTCCCACTGGATGGATGTGAGAAAATATTGAGAATCTGGCCGATAAGCAAGCAACTTGCGTGTTGTAAACCTAGCCAAGTCCAAATGGTAGAAAGGAGAAATGCAGCTGGGAGTGTACTTGAAATTATTACTGTCATCTCGATGACAGAATATAAAGCAGTACAGCCAACAGCACAGAGAGGAGAGCTATCATTTAAAGAGTCAACATGTTAGTCTTTTTCAGGTCTTCTGAATGATCCAGAATAGAGACCCTTAAAACCACGGGTATCAAAAAATAATAGCTTTGCTCACAAGGGAGGTAACTACGTCCTGTAGCTCAAATATGGATGCAGCTACCCTCATATGTTTTTAATTTATTATAATCATTAACAGATTAACAGTTCAATTTTCACAATCCATTGAGTAGTAAAAAAGAATGAGCAATTCCAATGTTAAATGGCAGAAGCCCAGATGAAGTAATCTAATATTGATTTTAAAAAGCCATGTGTCCATGAGTTATGAAAATCAACTACTGTTTTATAAAGAAACATTACAGCACAAAAACAAAAATCATGTTTTTACTAGAAAGTCACAAAATTTCCTGTATAGTTTGCTCCAGAGGACTAGCACGAGACATACGGCTGAACTGCATCCCCTCTTGTTCAAAAGCATTCCTTTCTGCAAAGCTCCTTTCTTCTCCTTTATTTTATTAGCGGGGGTTGGTGGGGGGAGGCGAGAGTAGAGAAAGGCACATGATAAATATCTTAATTCTATGATTTTCCTTCTTCTTTTTTCCAGTTGCCTCTCACTACAATGACATGTCTTTTAATTTCGGGGAAATATTTCTGGCACAGTGATATCCTTTTAGAAACATGAATGTTTCAAGTCAGATTTTGTATAAAAACTTCCTATAGTTAAAGAGCTTAGAGGTCTGAGTAAGATGTGGATTGAGACTGAGACAGAGATAGAAGGGGAGGAGGGGAGGAAGAAAAGGGAGAGGGAGACACATTTTTAGTATAATCTTCTCAATGTGTAGCTTGAAAAAAAAAGGCCCCTTTCAGACCTTTTTATTTTTAATCCTCACCCAAGGACATGATTAGAGAGAGAGAGAGAGAAACATCAATGTGAGAGAGAAACATCGATCAGTTGCCTTCTCTATACAGGATCTTGAACCTACAACCCAGATATGTGTCCTGACCAGGAATCAAACCAGCAGCTTTCGGTGCACAAGACGATGCTTAACCAACTGAGCCACTCCGGCCGGGCCTTTTCAGGCCTTCTTCTGCACAACTATTAATTGTTCAAAATTCATGTATGCAGGAAAGTGACAAAAATATTCACCAAATACAGTATAACTCTTATATCTGACTGAACTAATGGACTACCCCTGGAACACATGGGACTATAATATAGATTTAACAGACTACCAAGATAACACCCGGTACTAAAGTCATAGGACATAAAATAAGCCTTTGTAGCCATCGCCTCAGCTACATTTCTTTTGAGAACAGAAAAAATTAAAATAAGAGTGATTCTCACTGAAGTATCAGGAACCAAGAAGAGCCAACTGTCCCTTAGGGTCCAACATTTTTTTGTGAGGACAGAACATTTTCAATGTGGACCCTCAAAACCCAAAACGCCAGGGATGAGAGCAGCAGCAGCAGCAGCAGCACGGGAAATCACACAGTTGAGAAGAGGAACCAACAGACGCCACTTTCCTCATGTATTGGTTCAGTTACAGCTCCAGATTAAGCCAATTATATTGTGGTGCATTTTGTATATTTTCCTGTACCAACAGTATTTTGAAATGAAAGGAAACAGAAGTAATAATTTCATTAGGCTTTGAATGCTCTTTTCCTAGAACTTTTTACAGTGAGATTTGAAATTGAGTCACTTCACTATAGACAAGATTTATTCATTCAATAAATGTTTATGTGCCTACTGGGTGTTAAGGTTGCAAAACTGATTTATATAGTCATGATATCTACCTTCAATAGGGGACATATCTAATGTGGGGACAGATACTACTATAAGTGAAACAGTACTTAAAGTATACAAAAGTAGAGAAGCAGAGAATGTTATTAAAGCACATACTAGTAAGTAGGGCCTCTAACCTGTCTCGGGGTGGGAGAAGGCTTTCCGGAGCAAGCAATGGGTGAACCGAGATCTGAAGAATGAATAGGAGTAAATCAAGGGAGTGGGGAGGCAAGAGTTTTCTTCCAGGCGACAAAACAGCATAAACAAAGACCACCAGAGACAAGAGGAAGAATGGCCTGTTTGAGTTGCTCAAGCTATTTTTGTGCGGCGGAAACACAGAATGCCAGGTAAGGGCTGAGGAAGAAAAGGCTATAAAGAAAAAATGTGAGCTAGACTTTGGGATGTGAATCTCAAAGAGTTTAAAAGGCTCACATGTAAACTGAACTAAAAAGTAAAGGGTTAATAAATCAGTTATCTTATTGTCCAATTACTTCTAATACCACCAAAACCTTACAGATTACCAGGACGTTTGCAAAATATCTTTATTGGTCCCTTTCAAACAGGGAAATGAGATTATTTCTTCTCCCTTAGGTTAGAGACTATCCCTGCAGGGCTCACTTAAAGTATGCAGATTTGTTTTCATTTCATTTGTTTTCTGGCCGGTATTTCTAAGTGGTTAGAGTGTCAGCCTGTTCACAGAAAGCTTCAGATTCGATTCCAGTCAAGGACATATACCTGGGTTGCAGGTTTGTTCCCTGGCCACAGTGAGGATGCATGTGGGAGATAACCAACTGATGTGTCTCTCTCACATCGATATTCTTCTTTCTCTTTCTCTCCCCCCCCGCCGCCCACCCTTCCACTCTATCTAAAAGCAATGGAAAAATAGTCTCAGGTGAGGATTAACAAACAAAAAAGTGGTGAATCAAGTGTCTAATAGTAAAGAAAGATTAAGTCAATTACTATATATATATTAAGCTTAAGAAAAGATACAAAAATCACATGTACACAATGACATCAACTAAGTAAAATATACTTTAAATGACTAAAAAGAAATGACATGAGAGTAGTAATGATAGGGTGAGAAGATTTGTTCTCTTTTTCTAGATTTTCTGTAATGTGGATATATTATGTTTAAAGTATTTTTTTTTTAAGTAATAACATCAATAATAATAGCCAACCCTTATATAGCACAAAACATATGCCAGCTGTTGTTCTGGGTGTTTCATATAATTGAACTCAATTAATCCTCATCATAACACTATAAAGTAAGTATAACTACTAGCTCCATTCCAGAGCTGAGGGAATGAGGTTCAGAGAGGTCATATAATTTACCTAAAATCATACAACTGAGCCAGGCAATCTGGCTCCAAAGTCTGTTCTCTTAATCACTAAGCTACACTGCACTCTAAAAAACACGGGATTGAACACTGGATCCAAATTCAAACAAGAAATTTTCCTTGTACATAAATCTAGAGTATCACTAATGATTCCTTGAAGACCTCAGAAGCCATATATTCTTTCAGGGTGTAAATTAATAGGATACATGATGTGGCAGGATACATAGAGGTAGTTAACAGATGGTCAGAAACTACATTTCAATTGCTTTTTATAGACTCGTTGTGGGTCAGCATATATAATCTTTACATTTTATTACCCTTCCTTGCAATCATAATGTTTTGCCCCATTTTTTTCATTACCAAAAAATGTATACTATGTCTATAGGACATTCTGTAATAATTATTTACTATAAATCTAGGTCATCAATGAAACTTTAATATGCATAAGCATCATCTAGGGTGCTTGTCCCTAGATAGCAGACAGCAGAGCATCCTTTAAAAAAACTGCTCTACTTCTTATTTTCTGACATAAAGTATCTACCTAGGTCAGTGGTCGGCAAACTGTGGCTTGCGAGCCACATGCGGCTCTTTGGCCCCTTGAGTGTGGCTCTTCCACAAAATACCACGTGCGGGTGCGCACATAGAGTGCGATTGAAACTTCGTGGCCCACGTGCAGAAGTCGGTATTTTGTGGAAGAGCCACACTCAAGGGGCCAAAGAGCCGCATGTGGCTCGCAAGCCGCAGTTTGCCGACCACTGACCTAGGCTATAAAGATATAGCATTTGTTATTTTCTACCAGGAATGCTAGTACTTTCTGTGCATCTTTTTATACCTTATGTTACATGAATAAGACAAACCAATTTTATACATGGTAGATACACAGACCCAATCTCATTTTAGTCACATCATGTATAGATGACTCACAAAACCAGCTTCGAGAGTGTGTACACTGGAAAGTGTAAACTCCTTTCTGCTGCTTAGTCAGATATTTTAAAAATATGCTGCTTCCAACTTCTTATACAGAAAGTGTTAAGTCAAACCTGATTTCTTGTCCAGAAATGATACCAATTGATGTTTTGAATAATTTCTTCCCTCAGTGACAAAGGATAGTGGAATATGCCACAGATAGCTATAAAAAGAAAATATTGAAAGATTATTACACTTTCCAATATTTCAGTCAGTTACATATAATGTGTCCATTTTCTTGTTTTTTGGGGGCAGGAAGATGAAAATTTTCAAGATATTTCCAGAAAGGGGTAATCTTGTTAATGTTTTATAAGAACCTATGGCCGTGGCCAGTGTTGCTAAGTGGTTAGAGTGTCAGCCTGCACACCAAAGGGTCTCTGATTTGATTCCCAGTTAAGGGCACATACCTGGATTGCAGGTTCAATCCCTGGACCTGATTGGGGCTCCCATGGGAGGTAACCAATCGATATGTCTCTCTCACATATCTCTCTCTCTCTCTCCCCCTCCTTCCCTCCCTCCGCCTCCCTTCCACTCTCTCTAAAAAGTAATGGAAAATATATCCTCAGGTGAGTATTACAAAAATATATACAAACCTATGATTACAAAACATTTAAAAATACTTTAACCTGAGGGTCCAAAGAGATGGAAGGCAGAGAAAGTGGGCATGTACCTTGCATCTGAAGGCTGGATTTCAGGCTTCATATTTAAAAAGAATCTTTCTTGTTGTATAAGAAGCTCCTTTCCCTTTCTTTGCACAGTCACTAAAGGAAATCCTTTCTGCAGGGTCCAGGTTTTCATCATTTTCTTGACATCTACTGTTTTGTTTGTGACCTATAAATAAAAGAATAAATTATTTTTGCTTAAAAATAAACAGTTTAAAAACTTAACAGTTTGTATCTTTTTCTCTTTCTGTACCACATTCTATGAAGACTGCATTTAGAGTTAATATAAAGCAGCACAAATGCTGAGCTGAATTTACATTTCTCATATAGGTAAATGAGCAATTGCTAAAAGGTAAGTGACCTGGGACAGAACTAAGTGATAACTAAAGAGCATGAGAGAGGCACAATGTTGAAAAAGCAGTAGATATTATCAACCAAGTGTTCATTAAAATCCCTAAGGCGGTATAAGCGCTCTTTCAGGCCACAAGACTAGCATTGAAGGAGATTGAAAAACTGCAAAAACATAATAAAAAAAAGATTTTTGAAGAAAATATAGTAATATATATTAATTTGGAAAAGACAATTTTCCTACAAAGTAGGAATGGAGATTAAGATGTAGAACAAAAATGGTCGCACAAGGCCACACACAATTTTTCAGTAATTAAGACTAGTACTTCCATTTCTTTCCAAGTCTGTGTTCTATTAATGTTTATATCTTAAGCTCTATCTCCCTCTTTCTCAAATAACTATCTTTGTTACCACAACTTACTTATATACTTGATAAAAATATAAATAGAACTCCTCTCTTCTTACTTCAAGCGCCCAAGAAAGCACCAGGTCAGTCACTTACCTCATTAAAACTATCCCACAGATCATCACTTTGAATGGATGCATAGCTATGCTTTTTCAGGTAAAGAACAAGAGCACGTTGAAATACATCTTCACCAAGATATGTTTTCAGCATCAACAAGAGAGAAGCTCCCTATTCAAAAAGAAAGAAGAAAAAAAGTAGAAAGGGAGGAAAATAATAGAACACAATATGTAGAATTGAGAATCTAAAATTCAAAATATAGTCAATTTAAGCATATATTCCCATATATATAAAGCCTAGTTATGACACACTGCTACTTGGTCTCATATAACCACATGTGGACTATGTTCAAATTGTCTTAAAATTATTTTAAAAGATTTGAAAAGAATTAATGGAGTAGATTCCCATGTGCATTAATTCTAATATGAGCCATTTTGTGTGGTCTGTCAGTTACTCACTGTTTCAGTGTTAATGTTAAAAAACTAAGCAATTATAAATATATTTTTAACAGAAAAATATGCCAAATATTCTGTGGCATCCCCACTTTTATCCCCAGTGTTTAAGGTACCAGTTCAATTCATGGGCACTCTGCTGGGGACAATAAATAAAGAGCTCTCAAAAGTCTCTCTGCTGGGACTACATTAATTTCCAATGTTAGTATATCATGTCGCTAAAGTAACCAAGATCTCTCTTCTTCCTGAAGAGTCACTTCCAATATGTTTGGAACTGATGAATGTATAAGGTAGTAAGTATACACTAATAATCCAAAATCAGGCATGCACCTATTAAGGTCACATGATAGTCACTGATGCACACATCATCACTTCCACTCTTAAAATAACAACCACCTCATTTGTGAAGCCTTCAATTTGAGATAAAAATCATATTTTTCTATTTTCAAAAGAAATTTATATCACTTCCTGCATCTGCTATAGATATAGTTATTTCTTCTTGTAGAATGTGTGCTTGTTGAAGGGAAAACTAAAAAATTCAACTCCAATGATTAAAACAAGCCTAGTACACAGTAAGCATTCAAATGGTTTTTGAATGAGTTTCACTTCTGATAAAAATGTAGCAATGTCAAGTCATTAAGATTACCATACACACATTAACTGAATTTAATATCTATTGCTCTCTCTGGTGTTACTTGTTCTATAAATTTAAGTACTCACTCTTTTCCAACATTTCCCCTTCTCTCCTATATCACCTACTTTCCCTCTCTACTGTAACTTTCCCATTAAGCCCACAGACTCTGTAACATCCCTCATTTTAAACAAATAAAAGATGTTCTTCCTTTCCTTAACCTCAGGTCTCCTCTAGTTACCTCTTGTTCTCGCTTTGTAGTAAACTCCTCGAAAGAGATGTCTGCATTTGCCATCTCCATTTGCTCTCTTCCCATTTTCTCTTGAGCCATCTTCCAATCATCACTCCACTGGAAATATTTTATCAAGGTTTCTTCAAGGTGAACTTCATAGTGTCAAACCAATGTCAATTCCGTGGCTCAACTTACCAAGCACTAATAAGTGGCTTTTGCTATCAACCGCTTCTCCTGAAGGCCTTCTGTACTTGGCCTTGGGACACCACTCTAGAGTTCCCCCCTATTCACTGGCTAAACCTCAGTCTCTTTTGCTGGTTCCTCCTCACTTTCCCAAGGACTAAATTTGGACGTTCCCTGGCATTTAATCTTCAGACCTCTTTTCTTCTCTCTCTCCAAATTTTCTTCCAGGTGATCTCAAATTTATAGTTGATCTCTAACCAGACTTTCCCTCTGAATTCCAGACTCACACCCAAATGTCTACTTCATATCTCAAAAACTGAACTTTTAATTTTCTTCTTTTCCCAAATCTACTCCTCCAATAGTTTCCCCCAATGCAGCAAATAATAATTCCATTTCTCCAGTTGTTCAGGCAAAATCTTGAAGTCATCCTTGATGCCTCACTTATATTCCACATGTAACCCATTAGCAAATTCTATGGGATTGACCTTTCAATAAATTCCATTTTCCTCCAAAAAATGTATCTTCATAATCCCAGGCAAAAATACTCTACCATTCCTTTAGTACATATTATCTCTTATTGCTTCACAAGTACCCACCACCTAAACTTTGAGTTTCTGGATGACATGGACTTGGGAAGACAGATCAAATGAGTCTCCTGTAGGGGCCGGTGCCCACCACTCCTGCAGGAGGTGGGCAAACACGTCTCCTTCCTCCCACTCTGCAGGCACACGACCCTGCGCCCCACAGAGTCCCAGACAAGAGCTTTGGTGGGAGACAGGCTCCAAAGGTCCCAGCTCTGAGCAGCACTCCCTTCCCCATCTGTCTGTGGAACTGAGCTCAGTCAGGAAGGTCCACCAGGACCCAGGAGGACAGATCAAAAGAGTCTCCTGTTGAGGGTGGTGGCAGCTGAGGCTGCGGGAGGGGGACAAGACTAACCCCTGTTCCAAAGCCACATGGCTCAATGACTGGCAACTGCTTCTCCAGAAAAAGAGCACATCAAAGTTCCCTGTTGCGTGCAGCCCACAGACCCCTCCTCAGGACTCAAGCTTGGTAGGAAGGTGTCCCTGGTAGTTAAAAGTCTGGGTTAGTGCACTCCACAGGCTGGTGCTGCAGGAATAGGAGTGCTTTACCCTGGGGCCAGAGTGCGGTATGGGATAGGGACTTAGCACAGGGACATCAGTGGTTGGACCTCCCAGATCTCTCCTCAGGGCCATGCCACCCAGACCTTCTCTTTATGGTTCCCACAGCCCTGAGTCACCTTCCCTCTACTGGAGCCCCAGGTGAGTGTCTGAAAGCAAGATCCTGTGTGTTGGCCCTTTAAAAGAACACCAGAGTTTCTAGAAGATGCCCTCCTCTTCCAGGAAGACAGTCCCCACTGATTTTCACTGCCAGATGCTATGCAGGCTTCTCTTCCCAGCTCTGATGCTCTGGGCTGGGGATCCCGGCATGGGACTGAGACCCCACACTCTCCAGAGGGATGTTTGCAGCCAAGATTTCGCTGCGGCTTCTCAGCTGCAGCATCTCCTCTTCTTACCAATCTTTATGTGGGCTTCTTCTGTAAATCCTTGGTTATAATACACCTATTCAGCTGTTCTTCAGTTGGTTATTCAGGTTGACAGCTCTACAATTTACCTGTAAATCTGGTCTGGTGCCGGAGGAGGTGAGAGAAGCTTCCACCTACTTGATAGACATCTTGGAATCTCCTGAACTTCAATTCTTTTAATATTTGTTTGCTTACTTGTTTTGGAAATTCTGACTTTGGAATATACCTCAATCTTGAATCACACATCCAAAGGCTTGCTTAGAATCCTCCCTGGACATATTCTACCTACAGATCTAAAGAATGAACCAACTTTAAAAGATATATTGCTATAAGACCTAGTTAAATGCCCAGAATACTAGTCAGAGAACTTAAATGAGACAGAGAAAAAAAAAAGGACAACCTAGAAAAAGTTAAGTTCAAAATTTAGATAGAAGCAAACATCTTAAATTTTAACAGGATGCCTGAAAATAATACTCATTTAATTTTTATAACAATCTAAACCATGTAGCTTGTTCACATATGAAATTAATTTGAAACCTACTCCAGGTACTAATGTGCATAGTAATACCTTAAAATAGGAAAGAGCATCAAACATTTCTTCAATCTGTTCTGAAGACTGAACAGATGATGATATTGGATGAGATGAATTCAAGGAATCTTTCTTCATGGTTTTAAATCGAGCATCTAAGAAATCTTCATACTAGTAAAAAATGAGACAGGTTAGGAAATCATGAACAGCATCAAAGGCAGAGGCATGTATAGCAATTATTTATATAAATTAGACTACTGCTTAAGGACATTATTAAAAAAAATAACCAGATTTACTCAACTTCAGAACACAAGCTTTTGCAAGATATAGGAAGTGTGATATTCACGCATATTCCTTAAATTTAAAAATAAAATTATAACCTCCTGGCCACATGGAAAACAGTGTTTCTTATGCAACAACAGTATAAGGATAAATTAAGATTCTTTTACTAAAGCAACAAAAAAATGCCAAATCCTGCTATTCAAGATGAACAGTATAAAAATTTTAGTGTATATTTTAAAAATAAAATCTAAAATTAAAAAACAAAAATAAAAATCTGAAATTAAAAAATAAAAATTTAAAATAAAAAGTCATCCTTAAGCCGATTTATTATATACAGTCCAGCTTTTCTGTTAAGATAATATACATTTCCTTTAACTGGGGTTCATATGAAATAAAATATAACTCTTAAACAGAAAGAATTCTTTGAAAGCTCAGGAGATGAGCTCCCTTAGAATATATATTAGAAGCTTTTAAACATTCTGGGCACCACCAAGTGGTGAAACTGTGAATCTCACTGCTTAATTAAGGAGCATACACAGATTTAAAGTATCTTGTTTAGTCTTCTAACTAAAGATGAGTTCATTCTGTGCCATTTGAAATTTTTGAATAGGCCCTACACAAAAATTTCGCATTGAAAGCTCTAAGAATATTCCTGTTTTAAAGAAGTCTTAGGTCATATAGCCAGGAAATTTAATAGAAAGTCACAGAATTTTAGGATTGAAAGGGATCTTTATACTTTCCCACCTATTGCTTGAATTATTTGGCAATAACTGTCATATCATAACCTAGTGTGTCCAAATAATTCTAAGGGTGGCAAACATCTCCAAAGCGTCTAATAAAGTGGCAGCATTACTATGCTCTCTATCACAAAATAGTGTTCCAAGTGTTTGAAAAGGAACAGAATATGGTTTGTATCTAAAAAGGGAAAATTATTTTTCTGTATCACTGTTATAAGCATGATCAGAGTGATAACAGACAGTATTGCTACAAAATATCTTAATTTTTTTTCTTTCTTTATGCACAGGATAAAATGTTTTGTTTTGCAAAAAAGGCCTTTCAATTATATCTAAATTCCTTCAAGCAGAAGAATCACAACTTTTGAAAATAAAATGTAGCAAATCAATTTAAAATATTTATCCTAATAACAAAATGTAAAATAATTTCACATACTTTCAGCTTTCAATGAAATATGTCAGTAAATAAAAGCATAACTTTCATTGTCAGATCTCAAGAGGTACAGATTTAAGTAACAGAGGCCAATTTCACTGTTTCTTTCTAGAAATAGTTTCATTTCTGCAAATACATAGAAAACACATGGCGAATATGATTTGAGTCTTTCCTCCCTTAGCACTCATAGTAGGCAAAAGACAGAAAAAACACTGTACTTACACTAGAGAGCTTTTGGAATATTTTTTCCAAAGAGAAATACTCCATGAAAGTAGCCAAACCTTCATTTAGCCATAGATCGTTCCACCACTGCATTGTTACCAGATTCCCAAACCACTGTGGGGAAAACAAACTATTAACCAACACAATCGTTACATTCTCAAGAATGTTCTAATAATTGAATTGTTAGCTTTATCACCTATAACTAGATTATAATTACATAAAAATACAGTCATTATAGTTAAAATAAACTCTATTCAAATTAAAGACTTATAAAAGCTGTGTAAATTTAAAAGTAAAATAAAAATTTTAACATTTTACCTTAATTGAATGAGAAAACAAGCAAGACATATGCAATTAGCATATTTTTCAATTTAACACGTTACATATTAGGTAAAATTATAATTTTTAGACACCTCATTAAAAATGAGGTTTCCTAGATAATGAAATTCTTCTACTTTTTAATATCAAGTTAATAAGATTCTTTTCTGTTGTAGCTATAACCACCCATGACAACTAAAAAGTAAATTTCTGTGTGACAATTTCCTATAGTTAGAGAGTCCATATTTCAAATTTCTCCTCAGTTACCCAGGTTGAGGACAGTATTTACACAACTCAAAACAGAATTCAAACAACATTTCCTCAAGCAAGTTGATATGCATGTAAATAAATGAAATCAGAAAGATCTTAAATGCGTTCTTCTATGAGGAGGAAGTAAGAAGGAAACAATGAAAGAAGACTCTTTTTAAAAATGTCTCAAAAAATGCCTGAAATAAAGTGTGGTGATAGGCATGCAATAGTCAGTGTGGCCTAAGGCTTGACTCAAACCAGCAGTAAAACAATAAGGTTACTAGATACTGAAACAAAATACTTTTGAATGACCAGAATATGTATTTCAAAGATATCCTAAAGCCTGTTTCAGACAAAGATGATTTGTCAGTCCTAAAGATGAACTAACAGAGAAATACTCCCCACGTAATGGTGGGAGGCCCCAGAAAAAACAGATCCATAGGAAAGCCCCTAAAGACCCCTTGTCTACAGGCCTGACGCCATAATAGTGAGTGAGTATACGCGTCCAATGCCTGCTTGTACTGAAGTCTTCAGAAGCGCTACACAGTCGTGCTCAGGTTGAGTTTGGACAGGGAGTAAACAGCCCAGAGCATGTTCTACTCTTCTTCCATATCCTCCCACATGACACCCCTAAAGCATACCCAACACTGATGAGCACCTCATCAAGGATACAAGAGAGGTGCTGGGGAAGACAGAGGGAGGTTCATGTATCCGTATAATTTTCTTGCTTTTACTCCAAGGCATACAAAGAGTGCCCTTCCTCTTTCAAATTAATAAAAAAAAAAGTCCAGTTCTAGCAAGAGAGAAAAAATAAATCTAATGATGACAACTATAGTTCAAGTGTTATGAGAGTGCAACTTAGGAAAAAGATGTTTCCCCACAAAGCTGTACTGAGCAGCTGGCATTTGTCAGTGGCAAACAGCTGTGTGTTGTGGGGGAAAGAGAGAGATCTTGATGAGATGGTGCTACTTTAGGACCCAGTGCTGCCATTCATTAGCTGTGTGACTCTGAGCAAGTCATTTACTTACGGTAAGTCCCGTTTCCACATCTGTAAGTGGGATTTTCACCTGCCCTACAGCAGTTATGAAAAGTGAGATCATACATGTGATCATGTTTTATAAACTGTAAAGTCCTATACAAATATTAGATGGCATTTTCATCTGAAATTGTTTGTGTTCAAAAGCATCATTTTCTTATGAAAGCAATACTACAATGAACAGCTAGATTATTATTAGCATCTAAACTTATTCTAACACTCTAGAACAGTGATGGCGAACCTATGACACGTGTGTCAGAGGTGACACGCAAACTCTTTCTTTGGTTGATTTTTCTTTGTTAAATGGCATTTAAATATATAAAATAAATATCAAAAATATAAGTCTTCGTTTTACTATGGTTGCAAATATCAAAAAATTTCTATATGTGACACAGCACCAGAGTTAAGTTAGGGTTTTTCAAAATGCTGACACGCCAAGCTCAAAAGGTTCGCCATCACCGCTCTAGAATATGGAATAGATCACAGGTATGAGATAAAATGGCCTTGGTTGCTAATACCTGATGGGCCAGCTCATGAGCGATGACTTTAGTAACCAGTTTTCTGTCTGCTGCTGAAGAAGTATTATTGTCATACAGAAGTGTCTCTTCTCGGAAGGTGAGCAGACCCCAATTTTCCATTGCTCCTGCTTCAAAGTCAGGAATAGCCACCAAATCTGGACATAACAGGAAAAAAGTAATCAACTTTCCCTCATTTAAGGTACTTCCTGGTTAAATCAAAATAGTTCACCCACTGTTTTATCACTGTGGATCAGGAGACAGAGTTCATTTTATACTCCTAACAAATGGAACGTTCCTTACTCTAGCCCTGTATACTCCTCACCCTAGGTCAGCTGATGAAAACCTGATAAAACCCCTGTAGCATCACTGTTCCTCTGCTCCTTAGCAAAAAAAGGGATACTTAATTCCTTCACAATGGGCAGGGCCAACTCTCTTCTCCCAGAACCAGCTCCATGCTGAAGAGCACTGAAATGCTCTTGCTTTCCAGAGCTTCCATTACTCAGTTTTTTAAAATATATTTTTATTGATTTCAGAGAGGAAGGGAGAGGGAGAGAGAGATAGAAACATCAATGATGAGAGAGAATCATTGATCCGCTGCCTGCTGTACACCCTCTATTGGGGATTGACCCCGCAACCTGGCCATGTGTCCTGCCGGGGAATTGAACTGTGACCTCCTGAAGGTCGAAGCTCAACCACTGAGCCACACGGCCCAGGCTCATTACTCAGTTTTTATTATCTGAATCAGGAACTTTTTAGGAAGTTAGAATCAGTTAAACTCCAGACTAAGCCCTAAGTGCATTCCCACTTACACAGCACCTTTGTAACAGCCCCATAAACTTGAAGCTCCACATTCAGATACACTCATGAAATCTAAATGATCTTAAATACAAACAATTTTTAAATCATTAACTGTGTTTCTTGGTTTTCTTTTATAATAACTTTGGCAAGAGCTCTTTCTAAAAAACATTTGCAAAATGATTCTAGGTTATAATGGTAACGAAAATCAGAGGCACTGTTTTGATTCTTACCCAATTTCTTAAGTGAGTATTGAATTTCAAAGTAGTTTTGAAAAAACTCAAGAAGCTTCACAGTTGTTTCCAAGGCATGGTGAACTTGGCCAATCTTTTCTGGTATAGAATATATAGAAACCTAGAAGGAAACATTATGTATGATGTAAGGCCAGGTATAAATACTCAGGTGAACGCTGTCAAGATTGGCATAAGTGAAACTGTAGAGAGTTACAAGATTTTTCAGGACAAAAATCCTTGCTTACAGTTCTTTTAGCACCCACAGAGTTTAGCAAATTACTTCCAGGCATACAGAGATGTTAAAAAAAAACCTTAACAATTCCTTTTTTAAAAAGTTAACATAACATCCAAAATAAACTATTTTGGGTCAGATTACAGCAATTTATAAGCATTTGCCCATTTAATTTTACAATACTCTGTTCTTCCTCCCCATTACCTATAGTTACCCTCCCTTGCTTATGAGCTATCAAGGTTGTGAATTATTTAAAGGACAAAACCAAATTTTAATTCTTTTGATACCTATCACAGTGCCTGGCATTGAGCAGGCAGGCACTCGATACAGAGGAATCGCATCTTAAGAGTGAGTTAGTTCTAAAATAAACACGTAAGGCAGAAATTGCACATTTGTTGAACTTACCCTAGAAAAAAAAACTATAAACCAACACATTCTCTTTCAGTAAGGCACAGCCAGTTTTCCTTCCAGCCTTGGGAGGGCTTGCTCTTTTCCAGTTGTATAAAAAATAGACCACATTGTATAAAAAAATAATCACGCCCAGAACGTGAAACACTCCATGAGTGGCACATAGTAACTAAAGCCAACTTAAGGGGATGATAAATTCATGCCCCCACTCCCCATTCACTCCAGGGCACATGCTCGCTCAGGGGGATGGCAGATGCAATCAACCACATTACTTAAATTGTTATTCTTTCTCTCTTTTTCTAAGTGCATAAGTTAAACACATACGATGTGACTAACTGTAAACATATTATTCAATAAATATCAAAAGACAAAATGTAAACCATTATGTTAAAAGCAATGGGTTTTTAAAAAGCAATATTTACTGTTTTTTAATTGATTGAAAAAAAACAAAAACCTCTATACTCCCCTGGAAAAGGGAATGTAGACAAGACATGGCAGAAAATAAAAACCTCAAAATAAAGATTTCATCAGGTGGGAAATGGAGACATTAAGTAATTCAACATTTGGTGAACTCTCATTTTAAATTAATTTTAGTCTCCCATTAAAGGACTGAAAACCTGTTAACTATTTCTAAGAGGTCAAATAGATTTAAGCCATAAATCCCTTTATGTGGGGCTTCAGTCTATAGAGCCATATGCATTAATCACAGAAACATGGACACATGGCGTCAAATGTACAGGCTCTGTAGTTAGAGTGCCAGGTTCAAGTCTCTGCTAGTTGTATGACTGAATATCTTTATCTATGAAACTAGAGGCCCGGTGCACGAAATTTGTGCGGGGGGTGGGGGGGAGGTCCCCCTCAGCCCAGCCTGCACCCTCTCCAATCTGGGACCCCTTGGGGCAGTGACCGGCAAACTCATTAGTCAACAGAGCCAAATATCAACAGTACAACGATTGAAATTTCTTTTGAGAGCCAAATTTTTTAAACTTAAACTATATAGGTAGGTACATTGTTATTAACTTAATTAGGGTACTCCTAAGGCTTAGGAAGAGCCACACTCAAGGGGCCAAAGAGCCACATGTGGCTCGTGAGCTGCAGTTTGCCGACCACTGCCTTGGGGGATGTCCGACTGCCGGTTTAGGCCCAATCGCAGGAACCGGGCCTAAACCGGCAGTCAGACATCCCTCTCACAATCTGGGACTGCTGGCTCCTAACTGCTCACCTGCCTACCTGCCTGATTGCCCCTAACTGCCTCCCACCCTGGCCTGGTCGCCCCCAACTGCCCTCCTGCCAGCCTGGTCACCCCCAACTGCCCCCCTGCTGGCCTGGTTGCCCCACACAGCCTGCTATTCAGTTGTTTGGTTGTTCCTCACTAACCCCCTGCTGGCCTTGTCGCCCCACTCAGCCTGCTGTTCGGTTGTTACTGTGATGGCATCCTGAACAATTTGCATATTCCTCTATTATTAGTATAGATGGCGATACAAGTAGCTCCTACACTCACAGGGCAGCTGTGAGGATTAAATGAGCTAATACATTTATAGAACTTAGAATAGTACCTGACACAATATAAGGGTTCAATAAATGGTAGTTATTATCACTACTAATAGAGTTCCATCAGAAATGGGAAAAATATGTGTGACTAGAAATTTGTGGCAAATTACTGGAAGAATGAAGTATCTAGAACTAGAGTTAGCCAATTAAAAATGTGTTGCTTTCTAAAGTAACTATGGAAGAAATGTAACCTCCCACAGCATGTGGCCAAGAGTACTTCACCAGCCCAGCACTCTACCATCCGCAGCCCTTGGTACAGGACTGTGACCACAGCTTATTGAATTCAGTCACTACCTGCCAAGGGAACTCAAGCTCATGCTGCTGACAAGTGCCCTTTCTGCATCCTTTCCCCTCTGAAGAAATGAGTGTTATTGCTAAAAAAATTAAAAAGCTTGACATATTCTTTTAAAGTGTGTTATTATAAATGATTATATCAAGATCACTTGGAATTTGAGATGTCTTTATTCTCTCTGCCTGTTCTTTCCAAACATACATATTTTATGGTATAATTGATGCAATCATCTAGAAGATGCTATCCCAAAATCACCCAGATTCCTCCTAAACATCCTCTTGCCAGGCACACCATTTGGCCACTTCCATCACTGTACGTGAAAAGCATCTTTCTTCTGAGGAAAAGTAAAGAGGAAGGGGGAGTTTATATAAAACTGAACTCTGACCAAAAGATCCACTTAGTCCCATTTCTGGTATACAATAATTAGGAAAAAAGGTACTTTGGTATATTTTTACCTCTTTTCTTTTTCCTTAAAAGAATATGTGCTATGAGTGCTCAATAGAGATAAATTGTGTGGTCCTTATAACTAAGATCAAGCTTGTTTTAGGAGCAACAGAAGCAGTGAGAAGTTAAACAAAAAGGGCAATTTAGTTTAACAAAGAAAGTGTTGACCAGCATCCTGGTCTTGCACTCTAAATACTGGTAAATGGAACTCAACTGGCACTCAGGCCTTAAGACTTAACAACTTAAAACCTTTCTTGCAAAATTTCTTGCGAAGACCTTTAGGAGATTTCTAAAAAAGACTCCACTAAAGACTCAGAGCAAAGGGTTCTTAGACTGAGGAGTAACAGAGTTGCTAGGTTTAACTTAATCTGTCCCTTAATTTAATAAAAGCAAAAAATAGATAAAACAAAAACAAAACCAGAACTAAACCTCATTCCCCACCCGAAAGGATAATAATATAGCCGCCTCCTAAAAGAATATCAGCTTTCCTAAACAGATAGCTGAACACATAAAAAATATATATATTCCTAAAAAAAAACAAAACAAAAAAAAACCAGTATCAAGTCTATCCAGAATAACTAATTAGATGAGACTTCAGGAGAAAGATATAAATTATAAACTATGTCCCTGGCTGGTGGAGAAATACTTGAGATGGAAATGCTTTAGCAGAAATTTGGAACTAAGCCATGTTCCTGACTGAATATGAATAAATTAAAATTATAACTTCATATGGATAATGCTGTTGAAGTTTCTGTTCAAATGTTAAATAGTCCACATCTGACTAACCACTACTGAATTCTGATTCTACTAATTAGACCTGCCTATGGTAAAAACAAAGTCAGGCAATGGGAAAAATAAAACAAAACAAAAACCTCAAGACAAACAGATAAAAGCAGTGTATTTTAAAACTGGCCTGGAATGTCCTACATAATTCTGGCATTCCTGAACACTGGAGAATGGACAGAAATAATAAAACAAATGTTCCTCTTTCCCTGGGCCTTTGACAACATAGTAGTCTCTACCGCTGAACACGATATATTTAATAATCTACAGCCAATTCTGACATTTTTAGTTGTTTGGTAAAACTGATTAGTAAGCAAAGCCCTACTGCCTTATTCCTGTATCTTGTGAAATAGGCCTAATGTCAAATATTACAAAATAGAAACGATCCTAGACACTGTCACATTTTAAAATAACAAAACTCCTTTGGTAGACTCCAAGTCTGAGTTTCTGGTCACCATACCTACAGAAGTCATTTAAGTCATTTGGTGTAAGAGGCAGCATACTGTAGTGGACAGTACAATTCTGATTATCACTTGCTGGCTAGATAATTTTGAGTCAACTACTAAACTTCTCTGTGACACTGTTTCTTCATCAGCAACACAAGGCTAATGCCTCCCCCTCATTAGATTTAGAAAATAAAAAGTGTAACTCCATGCATGTTAGATTCTTCTCCATTTCTCACTAAAAAGATATCAAATTAATAAAAATTATTTATTCATATAATGTTAAATTTTTCAAAACACATTTACTACTGGGTAGCATTAAAAATAATAAAGGTTATTCATATTTACAGACATACAAGGAATTCATAATGTTTGGTGCATATGCAAAAAAAGAGACGGTACTTTCCGCACACACACGTGTGTGAGTGTGTGTGTATTACTATCTGCGAGATACTGAACATTTTACAGGAATTTAAAAAAATGTAATCCTTGAGAGAACAGGCTAGTCAGGCAATATAGTACTAGAGTTGTGGAAGGTAAGGTTTAGAGAGGATCACAGAGCAATCTTCCAAGGGCATACAGCTAGTAAACTGTAGAGGAAAGATTTGTAGACACCACATTCCATGATGAACCATGTTGCTTCCTAACATGTAGATAAAAAGCAAAAAAAGTTTCTCAATTCTGTCTGTCTGTCTGTCTATCTACTACCTAGCTACCTATCAGAATGAGGTATAAAATTTGAAGAATTCACACTGGAGCAATTAGAAATATAGTCTAATTTATAAGAGGACCTTGAATATCAGATGAATTTGAAGCAGTTAGAAAGAAAATATAGCAGTAGAAAGAAAAAAAGAAAGAGGAATGTATTAGGAAATAGATGGAGGGAGGGAGGGAGGAGAAAAAGTGGGGAGGAGAGAGAGAGAGAACAGAGGGAAAAGACGCCAAGCCTGCATATATTTCAGAATATAATAAAAAGTGTGTGTGTGTGTGTGTGTGTGTGTGTGGGAGGGTGTTAATAATAAACAGTGTGACAGGAACTGCAACAGAGACATAACTGAAGTGCCCTGAGAGATGAGAGGGAATGACTGAGCCCAGCTGTGGGAAAGCTTCAAGGAGAGAGGATGGTTTGGCACCCGCTGGGCCATGAAGAAGCAAACCTGACTTTGTAGACTGAGCCTTTTTAGGTTTTGTCAAGGCACAACATCTAAATCGGGGGCTAGCTTTGTGTTGCAACACTTGAAGAGGAATTTATTCTTTTTTTTTTTCCAGATTGAAAACAGTTTTAATATCCTTTTGAATGGATTCTGAAAAATTATTTGGTTTAGACTTGACAAAAACTCTTTCAACCCAAAGGTGAGTAAATCATATTGAACACTTACCCAATATGCAGTCTACACTTACCCTTAACACTCACTTAACTTCTTGAATAATTCTCCATTCTTTAACATTGAGCATAAAGGCATACCATGTTATTGCTAATAAATGGTCAGATAATCCTTATGTCTGTCTTTATATTCTAAGTTATCATGGGGTAGACATGATAATCTATATATATAAAAGGCTAAGTGACTGGCCAGTAGGTATGATGCGCACTGACCACCAGGGGGCAGATGCTCAACACAGGAGCTGCCAAGCAACAGCAACTTTGCAGAGTGCCCTCTCACACTCTGGGACCCCTCAAGGGATGTCGGACTGCTAGTTTCGGCCCGATCCCCACAGGCCAGGCTGAGGGAATCCACCTGCCAGAGGGATCCTGCTCACTCTGCAGACACCCTTTGAGCCCCAGTGCCACCCCAGGTGCAGCTGGTTGGGGAGGGACCGTGGGAGGTTGGCTCCAGGGTGTGTCCAGCCCATCTCCCCCAGTCCCGCCCCACTGGCCACCTTCTAATTAATTTCCTTTCAATGTGCACAAATCCGTGCACTGGGCCCCTAGTCTTTTATAACAGAAGAAGTATACCCTTTTAATTAACAAAATAATATGACCCAAGAATACTGTGAGTAAAATAAAGCTTTTTAGTTTAGACAGGAAACCCAATACAATTGAATGTGTTCAAAAGTAGACAATATTCCCTGGTGGGGATCAAAACATTTCTATCATGAAGAATAATTATTATTGGCTTTAAAGGACCTTTTTCTTCTATTTTGTCAGCTTTATTAGGTCTCTACTGTAAAATTAATGCAGAAAATTCATTTACAGACAGTCACTAATGACAACTAGAAGCCTAATTAGAACAAATAATCAATTTTGATGAATTACAGATATACGAGACCCTTAAAAAATTTTACTCATTACTCCAATCATAACCTGGAGTATTCCTTCGAACTACATTTTTATGCTATCTTTTAAGTCTGAACAATGTTCTAGATTTAGCACTGGCTGTCCAATAAAATTTTCTGCATTTATAGAAATATTCAGTATTGATGATATACCAATATGGTGGCCACTAGCCCCAACACTAAAAATGTGGCTACTAACTGAGGAAGTAACTTTTAAATTTAATTCATTTTCAGTTGCAATGATATAACTAACAAACAATACTGTGTAACCTTAAGGTGTACAAAGTGTTGATGTGATACACTTACATATTGTAAATGATTACCACAGTAGAATTAGTTTACCACCTCCATTACCTCAACTCATTTCAATTTCTTTTTTTGTGTTGAGAACATTTAATACCTGCTCTTTTAGAAACTTTAATGTATATAATACAGTATTATAACTATAATAACCATGCTGCACATTAAATACTCAGAACTTATTCATCTTGTAATTGCAAGTATGAACCCTTTGACCAACATTTCCCTATTTCCCCCATCCCTTAGCCCCTGGCAACCATAATTCTATTCTCTGTTTCTGAATCTGGTTTTATTAGATTCCCCCCATATAAGTGACATGCAGTATTGGTCTTTCTCTGATTTATGTCACTGAGCTTTCAAGGTCCATCCATGTTGTTATAAATGGAAGGATTTCCTCCTTTCTCATGGCTGAGTAATATTTCATAGTACATATATACCACATCTTCTTAATCCATTCTATGTTTTTCCCGGTATCTATTTCACTTAATTCTGCTCCAATCCTTCTTTCCTTCCTTCTGCTAACGTTGGGTTTAATTTATTCTTCTTTTTCTAGTTCCTTGTGGTGTAAAGTCAGATTGTTCATTTGAGATTTTTTATCTTAATGTAGGCATTTATCACTCCAAACTTCCCTCTTAGAACTCCTTTTTATGCATCCCATAGGATGCATATACCACCATATTACAGTATTAGAGTATTCTAAATTTGACTATATACTTAACTTTATTAATGAGTTGTACATTTTCATTGTTACTAATTAGCATCCTTACATTTCAGCTGGAAGCATTCCTTTTAGGATTTCTTGTAAGGTAGGTCTAATGGGCTCTCTCAACTTTTGCTTATCTTGGAAAGTCTTTATTTCCATTTCTGAGTGATAACTTTGCTGGAAAGAGTATTCTTGGTTGGCAGTTTTATTTTTTTAGCACTTTGAACAGATAATACGACTCTCTCCTGACCTCTGTTTCTGTTGAGAAACCCACTAATAAACTTACGGAGGTTTCCTTGTAAGGAAATTATAAGGATTTGTTTACATTTTTCTACTTTTAAGTTTTTCTTTGATTTTTGGTGGTTTTATTATAGTATGTCTTGTCTTTAAACTGAGTTTGTCTGGTAATCTATGAGTTTCATGAACTTGGATATCCAAATCCCTCCAGTTTGGGGAAGCTTTCAGGCATTATTCCTTTAAATAATCTTTCTGCCCCCTTCTCCCTCCATTCTCCTTCTGAAAATCCAATAATTTGCAAATCATTTCATTTGATGGTGCCATAAAGTACATAGGCCTTCTTCACCTTTTTTCCTGCTTTTTCCTTTGTTCTCCTCTGACTAGATATCAAATTTTCCTATCTTCTTTCTTCTGCTTTATCCATTCTGCCGTTCATGCTCTCTATTTGCATTTCTCATTTCACTCATTATATTCTTCTGCTCTAGAATTTCTAATTGGTTCTTTTTTATTATTTTTAATTTATTTTTATAGCTTTTCATTTTGCTTGTGTGTTTCCTGATTTCAGTGAATTGTTTTTCTGTGTTTTCTTGTAGCTCATTAAGTTTTCTTACAACAGCTATTTTAGGGTCTTTATTGGGTAAATCATGGGTATCCATGTCTTGGGGATCAGTTACTGGAAGATTATTGTGCTTCGGAGGTATCACATTTCTTTGATTTTTCATGTCCCTTGATGTTTTGTGTAACTGTCTTCACATTGAAGTAGCAGTCAACTCTTCCAGTCTTTACTAACTGTCCTCTCCAATGCATCCAAACTCATACTTTTTTTCCCTCCAATAGTACGCTAGAACTTTTCTGCTGGAAATCTGGACTTCCACAAAGGCTCTCTTGTCCAAGAGCAACTGTCTAAGACAGCGACGTTCAATTGGTGTTCTACAGGAATTTTTAAAACATGCAACATCTGACTATTTAGTCAGGGGCACTGACCTCTTTTCCCGTAGATTGACAAAAAAAAAAAAAAAAATGGCAACAGACAAAACAACAATAGCTATCCAGTGTAAATAAAAAAATAATTATACCTATTTTTTGTCAGGTTGGCAAAAATCTATTTTTTGGTGTGCCACAGAATTTTAGTAATTATTTTATATGTGCCATGAGGTGAAAAAGGTTTAAAATCACTGGTCTAAGACAGGTTTTGAAATGCTCCCAAACTATAGCCAGGAAGCTGAAACCATTTCACATGCCACTACAGGGTTCACAAGCAGGACCAAGGTCTGTATGCTTAATAGCTGATGCATAGGTGGGCAAGACTTCTCCAGCTCCCATGGCATATGGTGCTGGATCCCACAGCGTCCACAAAGGCACTTTTCCCATGGTTGGATGTCAAATTGTTGTTAGGGCAAGGGGGTGGGCATAAATGAAGGACATCTTATTCAGCCACTACACTGTTGTCTAATTTTAATTTAAATCTACATAGTCACATTAAGCTAGTAACCACCATAGTGCATAACACAGTTCTAGAAGCTTTATTACACATGCAGTTGTGAGTATGTGAAACATATAGTTTAGTCTTGTATAATTATTTATTAATTATAGTAATGTTTACCATATGAACAACTATAAACCTACTTTTGCCCACCCTGTATATTGTCTTACTAGGATTTACTTGTAAAAGTAAAATTAAAAGAAATTTGAAAATTACTGACTTTCAGGTATTCAATTGATAACAGTAAACAACTATGCAAAAAGTAATAATTCTGAATTGTAAGATGTCAGAGTTGTGATCCAAAACCTTGTTATCCTCCATAAAGCAGTTACCAGAAATAATTAAAGAATTCCTCTCAACCTCTTTCAAGACCAATACCATAACAACATACCAGGGTTCCATTTACGTCCTGGCTCAGATTCTTCATCTCCCCAACAATGAAAGCAACCAGGTAAGTGCTCATCTTCACGCTTTCAAAAAATTCATCCTGAACAAGTCCATCTTTCATAGTGACTGATGACTTCTACAAGCAAAGGGGAAAAGACGACAGTTCTATAACTATGGGAATAAATGACAGTAACAAATAACTGAAAAACTGAAAAATTCAAATAGGAAATAAATAGCAAAGATGTTGGCATATTTTAATCTGTCAGGACTGGTTTCTAAACTAATGGCCCTTAGTCTCTGTCTGTTCTACCATCCTTCATCATGAGGATATATTAATTACAGTGAAAATCCTTAAGCAGTTTTTAGTCTAAAAAGATGGCTTTAAATAAATGTAAGTTAAAGATAATAAGTAACATTGGCTCTGTTTCTCCCCTTTAAAACAACATCAAAACCAAAATCCTTCCTTATGATCTAGCATGCTCCTCTCTACTGCTACAAATAAACTCATTGAAGGAGCTAAAGCTGGGATATCACTATAAACTGATGCCATTGTAACAGCCTGGTTATTATTTAACAGGAAAGACATGAAAGGGAAGACTAGATATAGGCATACCATTTATACAGCTTTGCCAAAAAGCTTCATTGAACACTCTAAGTCTGTTCCCTGCTGACTGTGGGGGAAGGGTCTAGACCAGCGGCTCTCAACCTGTGGGTCACGACCCTTTTGGGGGTCGAACGACCCTTTCACAGGGGTTGCCTAAGACCATCGGAAAACACATATATAATTACATATTGTTTTTGTGATTAATCACTATGCTTTAATTATGTTCAATTTGTAACAATGAAAATACATTCTGCATATCAGATATTTACAATACGATTCATAATAGTACATTAATTACAGTTATGAAGCAGCGACGAAAATAATTTTATGGTTGGGGGTCACCACAACATGAGGAACTGTATTAAAGGGTCGCAGCATTAGGAAGGTTGAGAACCACTGGTCTAGACAAAGGCAATTTAGACACATGCCCAGTAAGGTCTGAGAGATATGGGAAAATGCCTGCCCGTCAATCACACCTAGAAACAGATATTGGGTCAGGATGGGTGTGACCACTGCAATTGAGCAAAATCTAAATAATAAACTTCCAAACAAAGGAAGTTCACTCTCTAGGCTCCAGGGCACTGGGCCTTCTTGGTACTCCTGCTGCAGGGGGCTGTGCTCTCCTGTGCTTGCAGGGTGCATGGCCATGTTGGGCTTCAAACATGGACTTTAATCTGGCCGGAATGCTGAACCTCACCTGGCTGTGACATGGAACAGAAACTCTGGACACTAGCCCTGTTTCTGGCTTTGCTGAACTCTCAGTTGCCTCCTTTCAGGACTGGCTTGTGGGAAAGGGGACATTGGAACTAGAGAAATGTCACTCCACGCCAATAAAATCTTCCACATTCCATCCTCCCGTGAAAATGCTTCTTTCAGTAGCATCCCAAGAGCCTCATTCCCACCTGTGCCTGGGAAGTCTTGCCCTAATCCTCTGGCATCAAAATGGCTTCAGAAAGTACCAAGATGACCCCAAGAAGGTTTAGTGGGATTAAAATCATTAGAGAAGTCTGTAGTAGCCACAAGATGAGGGAATGAAGGCAATCTTACAGGATTTTCTGATCATGAATTGCAATATGTTGTGGAATACTAGGCAAGCAGGCATTCCACCTCTTTCAGAGAAAGATGAAGGTGAAGAGTATGTCTGGGAGTGGAGCTGTTGAAGTAACGTCCCCGTTGAAGGACAGATCATGTCCTCTCTGGCCTAAAAGGCTCAGTCCATAGTCTGTTGAATGTGACTATTCCTCTCCACTAGCCACATAGGCTCTGGGAGGCTCCTATCAGGCTGCACACAGCCCCTCAGGTGTCAGCAAAAGGACCCTCTCCATTCTGTTTGGCATAAAAACAATTCTGCTTGGTTTTATCCTCATTGCCTCCCATGTAGAGCTTACATACAAGAAAGTTGTTTGCATTCTTGTTAAACCTCCAGTTTACAATACTGACTTAAATAACTAATAAAAAATCCAGGTCAATCATGATTCAACACTATCAAGTATCATTGTTTAGAATAGCAAATATACCACATCTCAGAAAATACCACTCTGATCTTCAGTTCACAGTATTAATCATTTTGTACATTGTCCGTACATAGCACACACTTCACGTTTCCTGCCCATACATTCCATACCCAGCAGGTCTTTCTCTTTCCTCAAGTGCTCAGCGGGCTGACTTCTCAGTTGATTCCAACATATATTTTAACTTTTATGAATGTATTTTAAGAAAGAATAAGAATGTATGAGGTTTCAATCATTCTCAATAATATGATAAAGAGGATTCAAGTCTTCTCAAAAAAGAAAGAGATCCACTCAAAAATTTATAATCAAGAACCAGAACAGTACCTTAGGCATATTTGATAAAGCAGTGTAGTTCTCCTCTCTTACGATCTTGACGGTATAAGTGGCTTTAAATGCTGGCTCATCAAAACAAGGAAAAGCAGATCTTGCTGCCAGAGGTTCAAATTGAGTTGCTGCAAAGTACCTAAAACAAATGCAAATTCATCCAATAGTTACTTAGCAACTACTTATTCGAGGTACCTTGCCAAGAACTAGGGATACTAAGATAAACACTGCACAGTCCTACTCATTAAAGGATCCACAATCAACTGGGAGGGGCAGAGGTTGTATGATGAATAAAACTTGTCAGGCTGCAAATCATGTCATAATAGCGGAAACAAAGCACTGGAGTGATTACTGTTACTCCTCTGTAAACAGAGGTTAGGGAACAGATTCTGACTCGCAGGTGAGACATTGTAAGGAAACTGGCGACAAAATCTGAAGAGGGCATTTAAAAAGTGAGGAATATTTGAAAAGGTAGAGAGGGAAGAAAGTACAATCTGGAATGGGAAGCACAACGAAAGAGCAGTATATGTTCAGGGACTAAGGATGGCTGTCCTGTACGGCCAGTGTTGCTCAGTGGTTGAGCATTGACCTATGAACCTGGAGGTCACTGTTTGATTCCTGGTCAGGGCATATGCCCGGTTTGTGGGCGCGATCTCCAGTGTGGGGAATGCAGGTGGCAGCCGGTCAATGATTCTCTCTCACCATTGCTGTTTTTTTATTCTCTCTCTCTCCCTTACTCTTTTAAATAAATAAAAATATTAAATTTTTAAAAAAGGATGGCTGTCCAATGGGCTAGAGATGGCCACTGAGATCATAAGAAGGCTTCTGGCCGAAACCGGTTTGTCTCGGTGGATAGAGCATCGGCCTGCGGACTGAAGGGTCCCGGGTTCGATTCCGGTCAAGGGCATGTACCTGGGTTGCGGGCATATCCCCAGTGGGAGATGTGCGGGAGGCGGCTGACCGATGTTTCTCCCTTAACGATGTTTCTGGCTCTCTGTCTCTCTCCCTTCCTCTCTGTAAAAAATCAATAAAATATATTTAAAAAAAAAAAAAAAAAGAAGGCTTCTGATGGAAAATCAGTATGAAGGGTGATCATTAATTACTATTACTCATCTGTAAAGTCTCTGGCTTTACAATGCTAAACCTTAAACTTGCACTTTCAGGAAGACTGAAAAAAACCAGTTGTCCTATAGTATGTTTGTTTCCTTTACTCTCTTCAGAAATGAATTAACATTTTCCTCTCCCTCCTTGAACACAGCAACAGCACTTGAGAATTTGACTCATCTAAAGACTGGGAGTAAAGTATATAAAGAAAAAGAGAAATGCAAGTTTTCAATTAAGCAGAGGAATAAAACATCTGCATTTGGGAAATCATGGAAACATGGCTGTAGAATAATCAGGGCAAGTGTGGCCCTGGTGTGCATATTTCAGGTACCAGTTATTATGGTACGCATACAACTGCCACTTTAGACATGATAGCCTCACTTGCTTAGGGCTAAATTACCACTTTTAAAAGATAGGTAGAAAAGAGAGTGGGATTTGTAATCAGAAGATATAAACTCTTCAATTTACCACCCATCTGACATCAGGCAAATCAATGACTTATGTCTCAATTTCCTTATTTATCAAATTTAGGACTGAGATAGGATCTCCAGACAAACACCTTGGGTTTTTGTTAGAATCAAATAAAACTATTCATAATAAAAACTATTGATATGCTATAAAGTCCTACATAGATGTTTATTATAAATGCTAGATAACTCTTCTTTCACGGTTATAATTATTGTACTTTCTTTCTGGTAAGGATTTGCCCAAATAATTATTTCTATTGGGTAAACTGTAAAGAAGATAACCATCAACTTAAATGAAACAATTTAAATATATTACATTTCTAACACTACATTTCTTCACCCCACTCCTAAATTCTTACCCAGTTAATAAAAGATTTTGGAGGAAGGCCATTAGGGGGGTAAAGTTTGATGATAGCCATAATATTTGTTTGATGATAGCTATACTATTCATATACAAGAGTTTACTTGGACCATCACTTTGGATAAAACTTGGATCATAATATGCTAAGACAAAAAAAATCTTAAATTATTGTTAAAAGAGATGTAATAATAACTATTTCATATAAAAGTCCCTTTGAGAAGGCTGCTGCTTGATGATACTTATAATCTATCTTAGTTATGTTCAGTACCTTGAAGCTTATTTTTGTATTAGTGACTGCATTTGCTTACAGAAATACTAGTTGCAGTTTGAGTACTACCTCTAGTAGTCCTGAAGACAATTATGAATTAGCTGGGGGTCAGGTAAGAGAATTCAAAGCACTGAGGATAACAATGGATAAAGGAAAAGAGTGTGAACTTGGGAGGCAGTACAACACAGTGGTTAAAAATGTGGCCTCAGCCCAGCCAGTGTTGCTCAGTGGTGGAGCATTGATCCATGAACCAGGAGGTCACATTTCGATTCCTGGTCAGGGTACATGCCTGGGTTGCAGGCGCAGTCCCCAGTAGGGAGCCTGCAGGAGGCAGCTAATTGATGTTTCTATCTCTCTCTTCCTCGCCCTTCCTCTCTCTGAGGTCAATTAAAATAATAATAATAATAATAATAATAATAATAATAATAATAATGTGGCCTCTGAGTTAAAATGGCCTTGGGTTTGAGTTTCCCCTCCGCTACTTGCTAGCCATAAATTTTAAATGAGTTACTCTATGTGCTTCTGCCTCCTCATCCATAAAATAAATAAAATATTGCTATCCTGCTGTTAGTGGGTTTAATAGGATAAACAACTAAACATATAAAATGCTTGGAACAGCTTCTAGCACTTCAGTTTTCAGTAAATATGAACTACTGTTATCGTTGGAATTCAGGAATGAAGTTCACTATGACTGTGAAAAAACAAGGGCCAGATCTTGAACTAAATCATGTTAGAAATGAGGAACTGCTACAGGATCCTAACATGGTCAGATCTGTATTCCTAGAAATATGAGTCTGACAACACTGAAGAAGATGGGAAGAAAAGGAGGGAGGAAAGTGTGGTAAGATTAGAAGCCAGGAGATCAGTTAAGAGGATGTTTCAAGAGTTCAAGAAAAAGACACTGACAGATTGAAAGACGACGACATAAAACACATCCCCAACCTAAATTTGTTTACTAGTTCCTTTAGCATCAGCTTGTTATCTAGAACTTAAGTCTAACATCAACAACTCCTAGGTTTACTGGCCATCCTCACCTCTCAGATGACACTGCTAAGCTTCCTTTACCACAGCAGTGTCACACATGTTTGACATTTACATATACTCTGATTTTCCAGTCAATAAGAAATATATCCCTTAATTACTTTACCTACTTGTTTAAATATTTATTCTTCTTAAACCTAGGAGGGGATAAAAAGTACAAAAAAATTCTCTAATAGAACTACGCAAAATTAAAAGTGGGAAAAAGACCCCAAAATTGCTTTGAATTATAGTTTTCAGATATATTCAAAGGTATAAATAATCTGCTAAAATTTTATTTTGCATTAAGATATGCATTCTTGTGGGGCACTCCTTTTATCTAACCAAGTAGGTTAATGAATTTATATATTTTTTGTGATAGCAGAGTTTCACAGACTACTGGTAATTTAAGATTTTAAAATACTATTTCTTAATTTTAAGGAACTGTGTTCCATTTTTCTAGCATTTTCCACAACTCAATCCAGCCCATAGCAAGAGTCAACAAGTGACCATACCACAAATCATTTATTCTGCCATATAACATTTTCCCTCTCATTACACAGTAGCAGGCACTATGGGACTCCTACTCCAAGGGCAATAATCTGCTTGGAAGAGATGATAAAGGATTTGCCTCATAGGTTTGTTTGCACACTAAGAGCACTTTTTTAAATGTATATCCTACAATTCCTAGAATGACAGAGATTACGGAAGGAGAAGTAAAGCAAAGAAGCCCAAGCTACCATTGCAATTATAAATTTGCTTTTAATGTCTGATCCCATGAAGAGCCAGCATGCCATTTATTTTAAAGGTATTACATAAAAAGAGAAGAATTAGTTATCTGAATAGAGCTACAGATCCTGCTTTTGTCTCTTTCCCCATTTAAGAAAGATCAAAAAACTTTCTCAAATAGATTTTAAATATTCTTTCTATTTTTCTCAATACACCAGCATGCATTAGCCAAATGGCATCAGTAATTCACATGCTGGTTTACAAAAAATATGAGACAATGCTCCAGCTGTGTGAAGCAGATCTAACAAGGACTTTGAGCACATAAGAAAACTGACATTACTGCTACTTTAAGAATAACCTGTATGCAGTGTACACTGCATCTTTCTGGAAATTCAAACTACATGCTATGAATACTACAATTAAAGTGCAAAATACATGGTCTAAATAGGGAGCTGAATACTTTTATGTTTTGAGTCACTTTAAAAAAAATATATATATGTTTGTATTAATTTCAGAGAGGAAAGGAGAGTGAGAGATAGAAACATCAATGATGAGAATCACTGATCAGCTGCCTCCTACATGCCCCCTACTGGGGATGTGCACTGACCGGGAATCAAACCGTTACCTTCTGATTCATAGGTCGATGCTCAACTACTGAGCCACACCTGGCCAAGCTTGAGTCATTTTTTTAAAAAACCAAATTAAGTCTCTCCTAGATTTAAAAAAAAAATTTCTGTCAAATTCAAAATAGCCAGTGGCACTAAAAAAAAACAAAAAACAGTAAAGAAAAACAAACAAAAAAAAACACAGCAAAGATTAAAGACCCTAAAAATCACATATGTAACCACACGCACTCAACACTCTCTTTCTCATCTCACTAAGCACCTCCTAAAAGTTCCGCACATAAGGAAAATAGGTCTTAAAGAATAATCCATACTCTTCTTTACTCTGCTTCCCACAGAGATCCTGTAAGACGACAGAAAACTAGGTTCATCTTATAAGATATAAAAACTCAAAATAACATATGTTTTGTGTTAAAGACTGTAATCGGTATAATCTTTATCTATTTCCTTCCATCAGCATGTCCGCACCCCCACCATGATATATGATATATGTTCAAGGTTTTGACTAAGAAAGAAAAAGCATTTTTCCAGATCACCATACTACTCTTTCACACATAACATCCTAAATGTTAAAGAATTGTAGTTACTGTCTCTGGGGTGGGCAAAGGAATCCATATTGCAGAAGTCTCACAGAGCAAAGAAACAGAATTACTTAAGAGGGCTACGTACTTTTTCTCATTATTTTCATCTGTGTAGGAGATACCATAAAACCCATAGTAAGAACTAGATATATTTGCCGAGTACTCTATCTTCAAGGTATAATTGTGCCCCTTAAGAAGGGCTTCCGGGGCAACAATGGCGATTTGTTCATGGAAAGGATATTCCAGAACTTCAACTTGTTTTTCTTGGCTTGAAACTGCTGACATAAAGGTCACTCTTGAAATGTTATGGCCTGTGCTGTGAAGAATGATATTCCATGTGGCCTGAAGGGCCTGAAGCGAAAGCGTCACAGAACCCTGGAATGTCATTGTGGTCAGGTTTGGGTGCAGGTTGAGTTCATAGTGCAGAGGCATAATGGCAGTGGGAAGCCTGACTTGCGCCCATGGAAACAACTTCCCATTGGTTGCAATCGGCTGAATGAGTCCCATTGACTGGTTTTTCTTATGGCAGCCTTCTTTGGTAAAGGTACATCTGGGCAGGAGATAAATCACCATTATTACAGAAATGGCAAGCAAAATGACAAAAGCACAGACCAGCATGGTCCTTGCAGAGGGTACTGAACAAGTCCCATCTGAGCTCTGCCTGTAGCCAGATGCACTGTTCCGAAGGCCTGAGCTTCTGTTCATAAAGGACATGCCCAGCAGCTTGGCAGACGACTCATAATCCTCTTCCTCCTCGTCCATCTCATGCTCACCCAGACCCCGCACCAGCAGTCGTGAACCCCGGGGCTCATATTCCACCTCGTCAGGCTCTAAAGGATGTAAACAAGGCTCTTTGGCTAAATCCACCACATCTGGTTCTTCCTCAAACATGCTGTTTTCAATCATATTCCTGGGGAGTGGAAGCCGATCTAAAAAACCAAAACATAAGGACAAGGCACAGAATTAGGAAGAAAAGCTCATAATAAATTGTCTATTAGCAAGACTGCATTTAATCTAAGAATTTTTTTTATCACTAAGATTTATTTCCATCTCAGAGCTACTGAACTAAATAAGATGCTAAATTTTCTTGTACCCATTAAAAATGCAGGCATAAAGTATACTACAGTCATGAAACAAGAAAGCTAAATACAAAGGTTAGTATCAAAAAAAGGTAACTGAGATTAAATACTAATTTCCTTCATACACTCCTGCCCAACATCCTGGGCCCTTGTCCTGAACTTCAGAGGGCCCTGCTTTGGCCTGACTCTGGCTGTGCTTGCCCCCCAGGGTGAGGAGTCAATAAGATCAAAGAGATGTGCCCTGCCCACCCACAGTCCATGTCCCCCTTCTGGGGTACGGGCACCAGAACCCAGAATCCCTGCTTCTAGGGCCTCTGTGGGTCTCTTCTCTGACTCCCTACGGAGGATCACTGATGTGCAGTTTATAGACTTAAATAATGGCTAAGCAAGAGGCTGGGTTACTTTTTCCTCCTGGAAGAAGAGTGTTCCTGTTCCACAGCAAACTGAAAGTGGTAAATTATATAGAAAATTTCCATGATCAAGATATACTAAAAATAAAACAAAAGATTGGTAATAATCAGATAAAACTGTAATCCAACCTATTTGCTCATGCTTCCAGAACATTCAGAAGTACAACATATACCCCTCTGTAACAACCATTTTATATACGCCATGAGTGTAAGTGGACCTTGGGGTTGGGTAGTGGTAAAAGCTTTTATAAACTACAAAGAACCACAGTCTCCAACTTGCTAAGAGTCACTGAGAAAAAAAAAATAGACTTAAAAAGTAGACGGGTAAATAATCACACATAGATCAATAATTCCTAGGATCAGATCATTCAATGTTCTATTTTTTGTTGTTGTAATCCTTACCTGAGGATATTCTTCCACTGATTTTTAGGGAGAGTAGAGGAGAGAGGGAAAGGCAGAGAGAAATACTGATGTGAGAGAAACACATTGATTGGTTGCCTCCTGCTTGAGCCCCGACCAGGTCCCAGGCCAGGGAGGAGCCTGCAACCAAGGTACATGCCCTTAACCAGAATCGAACCCGGGACCCTTTGGGCAGGCCGATGCTCTATCCACTGAGCCAAACTGGCTAGGGCCATTCAATGTTCTTTATTTAAGAATCACACAATTTTAGTTTTTAAGGGATCTCAAAAGTTTGATCATTGAAACCCCCATTAAACTTTCCTACAAGGTACTTTATACATATCATTTCCCTTACAATTCTATGAAATGGAAAGTATTATACCTATTTCAGACAAGAAGGTAAAAAAAATAGAAAGAGGGGTTGGGTTAATTTATCTTCCTACAGTCACAGTTATTTAGTCACAAAACTGAAACTGGAGCTTAGTTCTAAAAATCTGATACCAAATTTTAGATTCTTTCCATTATAATGTTGCATTCCCCTACTCAACTAATTCAATAAGTGATGAGAGCTTTATATAAATTATTTATTTTGTATTTGTCAATGAAGTTGCTAAGAGTATTATTTCTCCATCAGCACAGCAAACTTACATAAAATTACTTAATATCTAGCTTAACAGAAATGCCTTGTATTTTGTGCTATTCAACAAACACTAAATAACAGTGGCAACTCATAATCCATGAAACAAAGTATCAATAAATATTAAGACAAAATTTATAGTCTTGCTGCTCAAAATTGTAGCTTTTTAGAAGAGCAGACTCTCAAGTCCCTTCCTTTAATCTGAATTTTAATAAATCCTCAGGTGATTTAAGAGCCCATAAGTTTGAGAAGTACTGGTGTAAGCCTTCTCCATGATCACATAGACCAGCGGTTCTCAACCTGTGGGTCGCCAACCTGTGGGTCGCGACCGCTTTGGGGGTTGAACGACCCTTTCACAGGGGTCGCCTAAGACCATCGGAAAACACATATATAATTACATATTGTTTTTGTGATTAATCACTATGCTTTAATTATGTTCAATTTGTAACAATGAAAATACATCCTGCATATCAGATATTTACATTACGATTCATAACAGTAGCAAAATTACAGTTATGAAGTAGCAACAAAAATAATTTTATGGTTGGGGGTCACCACAACATGAGGAACTGCATTAAAGGGTCGCGGCATTAGGAAGGTTGAGAACCACTGAGCTAGACACTAGTCACTCCATGCCTGGGTGAGCTCCTGCCATTCCAAACTGCTTTCTACTCTGAGAACAAGCCAGGCTGCTATTTCATGCTGTCCTCCACATGCCTTCTCACCTCTCTGTTCCCTTCGCCTACCAGGTCATCATTTCTCCTTTCCATCCAGTCCACCTGGTGAACACCTCTATTCCATAACTCAGTGGCACTTGCTACAGTGTAAATTAACAAGTTATTTATTTTTTCTTTATTACCTTTTAAAATACATATTCTTTCACTTTATCTCACCCCTTTTTTTGCTTTGGGAGATGGATAACTAATAGAAATACCAATTAGGTTGCCTTTTCCTCCCTCCTCTCCATCCTCAACTTTACAAAAGCTATGCTAGTTTAAAAGTTTTCTTTGAATAAAACTTTTAATCACTTTCTAGGTGTGGGTTTAGCAAGTTGCCTTCTAACCACCTCCTGTGAATGATCTGGAAATGGAAGAAGGATGATAGTTATAACATCCTGCTTTGGGAATTTAGTCTCCTAAACTTCCTATAGCACCCCAATTTCTGTGACAAAGTTTTGTTTTGTTTTGATAGTTTACCGTGTTTGGGAGTCTAGTTGACAGCAAATATTGCTGTAATTGAATTAAAAAATTTTTTTAATTAACACTTAATGGTTAGAAATCTTCTGTGGTAATTTTTTAGTACCTGGCCATGCTACAGATTAGCTGCTTAAATTTGCCTTTTCATTTTAAAATGTCTAAAAGACCTTCTTTTATGATTTAAAAAAAAAAAAATCTCACATAGGAAAACTATGTTCTCTTAGGCATCTGTCCATGTGTTTTGTTCTGTGTTGGACCTGATAAAGACAATAATGGGGTCTGGGCAGTATGGTTTCATTTAATAAATTTCTAAACTAATTCTAGGTATGATCTCAGCTTAGTATTTAGAGCATTTCCATCTCTGAATTCATCTATCCCTCTAGAACTTAGTTTTTGGGTTTTTGGATTCCTAAACCACGCCCTGTTTCAAGCCAAGGGATAATCAACAGTCTGACCATTTTAGCATCTCCTGTCCACAATTCATCAACTTCAAAACTTTGACAAGGACTTAGTCAGATGCCTGTCAAAATCCAGGTAACTTTATTATTTATCACCCAGTCAGATTAATACATATATAGAATTTTAATCTTTCATAAATGTAACACATCAACCCATCTGCTGTATTTTACTGCCCATTAGAAGCAAACTTTTGTATATGTGTGCCATCATATCAAGTTAAATATATCAAATGAGGGGAAATCACTTTTATTACAGGTAGCCCATGAAGACTGTACTTTAAGCCTATTTAAGAAAATGTTGCTTTAGATTCTGAAGTTTGTAAACTTTGATCTTAGCATTAAGTTATAATGTAACATATGACTACCCCTTGCTCACATGGGATTTATTCACATTGAAAGAAGGGGTCTTAAACAAACAGGAAATTTTCTAAAACCTCTTAAATCCACATATACAAGCTCTCCATAAGCCAAGAGCAAAGAATGTCCTAGTTGAAATATTTCAGTTTTAAATAACATAGGCCCATGTGGTTATAATCTGAGAAAGCTGAAGACATTTCTTTTCATCAGATACCATGAACTGGTGTTCCTCAATGTTGTCTATGGACCAGGGCCAATCCACAAACTGTTTGTTATCTGTCTGTGACAGGATACACATAGAAAATTAGTATTGAAAACTTCTACAGAAATTTCAGAGTAATTTTATATCTGTCAAATTCAAAATGGAACTTATATTCCATGTCTTTTTTCATTTTAAGTTTTCCAAGGATTCATTTTTTATATGCCTACAAAATTTCTGCAATAGATTAAAAACAAAAAAGAAACCTTAGTTCTTCATCTCAGATAATGTGAGAAGCAATGAGTTGGATTGTTGCAATAAAGGCAACCCAGGTCGATATAAAGTCCTCAAACTGTCACAGTAGCAGTGGAAGTAAAAAGGAGAACATGACGAGTCGTGTTGAAGGAGAATTATACAGGAATTGTTTGACACCAGCTTGAGCTGGATGGGCCTGTATGGTGAAGAGATAGAGGTAAGTATATGTCAATTCTCTATACAATTCTGGCTTGGATAACTAAAAGAAGGAATGCCATTCACTGAGATTGGAAAATATAGGTTTTCATACTCTCTCTCTTTTTTTATTGGGGGAGGGGGGCGGGGGTCGATAGTGAGAACAGAGTATGAGATGGTATTTGGTATGGGACATGACATATTTAATATCTGTCAGATAGCCAAGTGAAGGTATTTGATTAATAGCATATTACAGAGTTAAAGGCCTAACTTTATTTTATTTTATTTTAAAGGCCTAACTTAAGACAGAGGTTAAAATCCTGGCTCTTTCACTAAATGTTTGATCTCAAACAGGTTACCAAATATGCTTTAGTTTCACTTTCCTCACCTATAAAGGACTGTTAAAAGTAAAGTAAAGCTATGGCAAACATGGTAAAGAATTTGAATTAAAAAGAGCAAACTTCCAACAGACTTTAATTCCTTCAAATTACTATCATACTTTCAGAGAAAATGAAATGGAGTGTATTTCCAAATCAATAAGCCAAAAACAATTTTACAAGAATAGGGCTAATAAAAATAAGGCTTCTTTGGCAGATGCAAGATTTACTATATTTAATTAGGTAATACAGCAACCAAATTAGGCTCTAAAAATAAAAGATTAGTCTTCTGAGGCCCCAATGACACATTTAAATAGAGCTAAAAACTCCAAGCCTGAGACAGCATTTAAATCTTCTAGATCCTCTC